GACGTGCGATGGGGGAGGAGTCGACCTGCTCAGTCCCCACGACATAGCAGGACTAGATTGACAAACAACCGAGATGGGACACAGTCCCATGTGAGTCCCTCACAGTCTGGAGGAAGGCAGACGAGAAAAAGACAAAAAAAGTGTTGATTGGCTGCCCTTCTTACTAAACAAAGGTGCGTTCACTGACGAGGACGTAAACACCGATCTGGCGTACCACGAGCATGTGTATATATTTCACAAATATTGCTTCATTTTGAGCATCATAACTCTGAGGTGGGACGTTGTCACCACTTTTTCCACTGAGAGGTGACAGGTTCAGAGGTTGTTTGTCCACGTTTGCACAGCGTGTGAAGGGGAACTGAAATTGGGATCTGCTTTCCATATCTTTATTCTAAGCAATTATCAAATGCAAAAAAGGGAGGAGAGGAGGAGAAACGGAAAAAATGAGGATAAACCTTATCCCCTCCTCAAGGTTATATATAATTATCCTTTGAAGATAAAATAGCATTTGTTATAGACGTTTTGTGTTTGTGCGGTTAAGTGTGCTGCCATAATCTTTTCGTTTTTCTCATCTAAAAATACCACCTTCATAAAGCCCAAACAAACACCCAATCCACATGACAGAACGAAACAAGTCAGGGCTAGAAGCTTTTAAGGGTGGCAGTGGGGAAGTGAGGGCGAGTCTGGGCTGCATCTGCCTGGTTTCAAGCACTGGGTTTACATTTCTTGCCTGATCACTGCAGTAAGGCTGGATTGGACTCTTTCACCCAAGTTTTAGGTGCTCCGGGGACACAGACGGGAGGATGCGATTTCCAATCTGTTTACCCTTCCCAGGTCTGAGGGCCTCCACAGCTGGCCCTTGGCTGTGGTCAGTTTTTCCCACTTCTGCCTGCTTTTTCTTAAGACATCTTATGGTAGCGTCTTGCTAATGAAGAATTTGGTTTGAGATTTTGTGTAGTTTTTTACATGATGAAATGTCCCAGTTTTAGTGTAACAGTATCCATCACCATCCTTAAGATCTCACTGCTGTTTAAATACTTCTGTCAATATTGTTGATTATTTACTAGTTTCATCAGATAGGTGGAGGTAACCAGGGATTTCTATTAACTGAGAACAAAATAGAGCGTTAATAAGTGACTCAAAAACCTCCAAAACATTATGCTAAAAGAAGTAATATATGAAAGGTTACATATGGTATGATTCCATTTATATGAAAGATCTAGAGTAGATAAATCCATGGTGAAATAACTCAGAATAGTGGTTGCCAGAGGCTGAGGGTAGGGGCCGACTTGGGAGAGACCACTTAATGAATAACGGATTCATTACCTTGAAGTAAATGAAATGTTTTGGAATTAGAGGTAGTGGCTAGGCGACATTGTAAATGTATTAATGCCGCTGAGTTGTTCACTTTAAAATGGTTAATTTTATGTTATGTGAACCTCAATAATTTTTTATAAGTGGGCATGGTAAAAAAAGAAAGTGATTCAAAGGATACCATGGAGATCTCAGTAGGCTGAGATGGTGAGTAGGAAAACCTGCAAAACTGCTAGGTTTCCCAACATGGCAATTCTCCTCTAATCTCCAGAGTCATCCACTCCAATGATGGTCTCTTTTTGAGACACTTTTTAATATTACTGCCACACAATTATTGGAGAGAAAGCAGACCCTTTTCTAAAAGATCCAAAAAACAAAAAAGGAAAACAAACAAAACAACAAAAAAAGACTTCCTTTCAGAACGGTTCTTTGCCAACACAGCTGACCATGAAACTGCAGGAACCTGAAGTATTGATTAATTAGTGTTAGTTGTTCCTCCTGTGGTCATTTGAAGAAAAAGTGCCTGTGAGAGAACAGGGAAGGACAATCTGAAAGGAGGACAATGGGGACACAATGGGGTCACAAAGTCTGGAGAAGAGAGAAGCTGAAGAAAGAGGTAATGGACCACAGTGTTGGGCACTACAGAAGTCTAGCAGGATTGGGACTGAAAGGAACCATCTGATTCAGAAGGTGGGAGGTCCTGGCAAAAACATCCTGGGGATGGCTGGGCGTGGTGGCTCATGCCTGTAATCCCAGCACTTTGGGAGGCCAAGGTGGGTGGATCACCTGAGGTCAGGGGTTCAAGACCAGCTTTGCCAACATGGTGAAACCCCGTCTCTACTAAATATACAAAAATTAGCCGGGCATGGTGGCAGACGCCTGTAATCCCAGCTACTCAGGAGGCTGAGGCAGAGGAATCGCTTGAACCCTTGAGGCAGTGGCTGCAGTGAGCCGAGATCGCACCACTGTACTCTAGCCTGGGCGGCAGAGTGAGACTCTGTCTCAAAAAAAAAAAAAAAAAAAAAGCATAGACCTAAATGTAAGAACCAAAACTATGAAGCTTCTAGAAGAAATTATAGGAGAAAATCTTAGTGACTTTGTGTTAGGCAAAGATTTCATAACCAGTTTGTGGAAAAAAGATTTCTTAAATAGGCAAATTCCATGAACTATGAAAGAAAAAAATACACTGGACTTCATAAAAATTAAAACCTTTTGTCTATTCATTTATTGCCATATATAAGCCACATGACATTTCTCCTTGCTCCAGCCTGGATACGGGAAACCCTTGTACAGTTGTCTATCCCAGCAGCTATCATATGCCAGGCTTATATTTGTGTAGTACAGACTGTACATCACTCAAGGGCAGAAAACATACCTTGTAAATGTCCTCACTGCCTAACATTTTGATCATTGCAAAGCCCAGGCAAAACTGCACAGTTCCACATCTGATTAGGACTCTTAGGTCACATGTTACCTTCAATTAAAAAAGACTAAAAAGTTGGTAAACAATCAAATACTCAAAAATCAAAAATTGTGATATATATTGATAGCGTAATACAGCAAATCAAATGTTTTCAAAGAACTTTTAGTTATTGGGCATATAGTCATGATGGAAATTGAAAAATATGAAATACAGAAGACACTGTTTAGAAACAGACCAAAATACACACAGGATTTTAGAACATGGTAAAAGTGGCAATTCATTTCTGGGGAGAGATTGCTTATATCCATTGGAAAGAGCCTTTCCTTTCCTTTAAAGCCTGGCCACAGACTACTGACTCCACGACTGGGGGAAATGTGGAGCCCTGGGAGCAGAGAGCAAGCCTACCCTCTGTCCCTCTGCCCCTTTGCCCCTCTGCCCACGTGGGCAGGCAGCCTTGGTTAAGACCCCAATAAGTAGTAGGCTCTCTAAAATATGTCACAACCTTTAAAGCAGTCGTTCTATTTTAGGAAGACACTGTAAGAAAATAATCCTAAAAAGAAATATCAGTTGTAGAAGAACATCTATAAGGTGCTCCATTTATTTATTTATTATTTATTTATTTATTCTGAGGCAGAGTCTGGTTCTGTCGCTGGAGTGCAATGGTGGGATCTCGGCTCACTGCAATCCCCACCTCCCGGGTTCAAGCGATTCTCCTGCTTTAGCCTCCCGAGTAGCTGGGATTACAGGCACCCGCCACCACGCCGGGCTAATTTTTTGTATTTTTAGTAGACGCAGGGTTTCGCTATGTTGGCCAGGCTTGTCTCGAACCCCTGACCTCGTGATCCGGCCTCCCAAAGTGCTAGGATTACAAGCGTGAGCCACCGCGCCCAGCCAGGTGTTCCATTTATATAGCAAAATACAAAAATGAAATGGCTAGAGGCACGAGGTCGCCTGGTGGGTGAGAGCAGCAGCCATGGATGGCTTTGCCAACAAACAGCTAAATTATAGAGGAACTACATATTGAAATGTAAATTCACGCATGAGGTCTGTATTAATATTGGAAATGCCTAAATAAAAATAATCTTTTTTTTCTGAGCCTGGGGGTTGGGGCATGGAGTGGCGTGGGGGAGTTGGGGTGGAGGGGGAGAGGGTCTTTCTACGTCGCCCACTGGTGTCAAACTCCTGGGCTCAAGCAATCCTCCCGCCTCAGCTTCGGAAGCAGCTGGGAATACAGGCGCGCGCCACCAAGCCCGGTTAAATAAAATCTGTTTTCCCCAGTTAAAAAAAAATTAATTTGTGTGGGTATATAGGTGTATATATTTCTGGGGTATATGGGATATTTTGATGCAGGCATACAGTGTGTGATAATCACATCAGGGTAAATGAGGTATCCGTTACCTCAAGCATTTATCCTTTGTGTTACAATATAAAGATAATCTTAAAGGGAAAAAAAGAGCAGCACAGGTAGTACTAACTGCAGCTGTATAGAAACAATGCGTGCCATAAACATTCATTTGAAGGAGAGGGGTTATGATTATTTACAATCATTAATGAATATGGCAATATTCTGGGCACTGACAAGAAAACTGCCACAAACATGCTGGCATAATGCACAATAAGCAAGGCTAAGCTGTGGTCGGGGCTCCCTCGCGCGACCGTAAGCTCTGAATTTAGAATGGGGTGGACAGCTAGCTGATCAAGGGTTCTAAAAGGCCGGCGGCTAATGGACCGCCAGGGGGCGCTCCACGCACGTCTCCACGTCCCCGAGCGCACCTCGCAGCCGCGCCTGCTCGCGGCCAGGCCGCTCCCTCCCTCCCTCTCCAGCCCCGACCCTTCTCCGCCCCGTCCGACGCTAGGGGGCGCCGCAGGCTGCCCTGCTTGCGGCTCGCGGCCCGGGAGCGCCGGGGCTAGGTGGCGGCGGCCATGGACCGATTCGTTTGGACCAGCGGCCTCCTGGAGATCAACGAGACCCTGGTGATCCAGCAGCGCGGGGTGCGAATCTACGATGGCGAGGAGAAGGTAGGGCGTCGGCCAGCCTTCCCAAGGGGCTGGCGGAAGGGGTCCCCGGTGGGCGCGCGGCCCGGCTCGGTGTGGCCCGGTCCCCGGCCTAGCTCACGGCCCTCGGCGGCTCGGCCGGCCTCTGTGTGGGGCGCAGCGCTCTTGCGCTCCCCGCCGGTCGGTCGCACGCAGCGTGGGGCGCTCGGCCGCCTCCCCTGCTCGGGTCCCAACTTTGGCACGGTTCCCAGCAGGCGCGGATCGCGTCTGCTTCTCTCTGCCCGGAATGCTTCCGGGAGAGCACAGCCGCAGCGCCCGGGAGAAGGAGCGCTCGCAGTCTGCGGGCGCCGGGCGGCGATCCGGCAGTCGACTTCCTTGGCGTGTTTCCAGACCCCCTGACTACACCAGCCTCGGTGTCGGCACCCGACAGCCAGGTTCCGCCTTTCTGTGAGGAGGGCGCGGTGGCCGTACGGTCCCCAGCGGAAGCTTTAGCTTGGACCTCATGCAGTCGGAGGGATTAGCATATCTGGGCAGAGGGGTGAGGGATTGCTTCAAAAGGATTTCCTAAAGAGGTATCAGTGCCTTATTGGAATGCCCTTGCCAAAGGCTTTTGGGTTTTTGTTTTGTTTTCTAATTGCTTTAGAAAGGCGTTCTGAGCGTATGTTTTGTAAAGTGTTATATTAATAGTAGACCGTGCCTTGTAATGCAAGCATAAATCTTAGAAGGTGCGTTTTCAAATCGAGAGGAGAAATAGGAAGTGTAAGTAAATATTTTGTAGATACTTTGTTGAAACTATGAAATCTTTTGTCCTGGATTGAAATGTATAAACTGGAATTAGAAAAAATTTAAAACTCACTTACCCACAAGCATTTTTGGTTTCCAGAAGTTTTAATTTGCTGCCTCTCTTCCCTTGCCGTTTTATTAACGACACTTTCCGCTGTACTTTGATATAAGTTACTGAACTCATAGCTTTTCCTGGTCAGTACTTACAGCTATTTACAAGCACAGGTGATTTTGGACCCGGTCCTCTGACTCCCTTAGGGCATTTTCTATGGGCTGGTTGCCTGTATTATTGAGTAAAGGTCTTTTCCTTAAATAATTTGCTTGGACCTAACTTCACTTACTGCCTTAGCACTTCTTAATTTAATTAATTAATTAATTTTGAGATGGAGTCTTGCTCTGTGGCCAGCCTGGAGTGCAGTGGCGCGATCTCGGCTCACTGCAACCTCCGCCTCCCGGGTTCACGTCATTCTCCTGCCTCAGCCTCCTGAGTAGCTGGGACTACAGGCGCCTGCAACCACGCCCAGCTAATTTTTGTATATTTAGTAGAGACGGGGTTTCACCATATTGGCCAGGCTGGTCTCAAACTCCTGACCTCAAATGATCCACCCGCCTGGGCCTCCTAAAGAACTGGGATTACAGACTCGTGAGCCACTGTGCCCAGCCTGCTTTAGCACTTTAACTAGCTTGATCTCAAGTTGAGTCTTCTATCCCTGGATTGGAGTGACAAGCTGTTTTTTTCTCTTTTCTTACCAATTTACATCTTTGTAACTATTTTAAATGGGAAGGTTAATCCACCTCCCCTTCCTCGGCGTTTTGATTTTGCCCCCCCTTTGAGAGGAACTGAATGTTGACAGTGGTAGATCTGTCCTCAGAGACTCCTCCAGTGCCACTCCCTGAGGGAGCACTAGGAAGTCATGCTTTTGGCAGAGCGTGGCATCATACAGTTCTATGGAACTCCAATTTGAAGACTAGGAACACCTTTGCTGGCAGGCAGTATAGCTGTGATAGATTTAAAACAGTGTAAAATAACAGCCATTAGTATTTTTATATGAAAGATACATTGTTGAACCAGCGAGTTTTAATTTTTACTTTAAAATTTTTGCTGCTTGTATTAGCAGACAAGTATATAGATGTCAGAGGTTTAAGAAACAAATCATGGGGAAAACATTGCTTGAGATCCTGTGATCTAGTCCAGAATTAACTCTTCTAAAAGCTTGAAATTGGAGTGGAGCTCTAAGAGGGTTCTCCTTACCACTGTGCCCCAGAGCTGGACTTAGTCACTTGCTCAGCTGCCTTGCAGCTATGTGGTCCCTAGGCTGAATGAGGTACAGGCTGACTCCTGGGGGAAAGTGCGGTATCCTGGCTTCCTTCACCTGTTGGAAGGTTTCCAGACTTCTGTGGTGCTAAAGACTCTACAAGGCTACACACATTAGCCCCCAAATCTGATGAAGTTAGTCTCCCTTTTAGGATGCCTCACTGGCTCCTTTGGCCTAGGGACTGCAGTCCAGATGGCTTAGTCTTCATGGTTTTGCATCCCAACCCATTCTCTGGGCAAGCGTGCGCATGGCTGTCTTCTAGACTAGTTTGATTGTTCCTGGAGCACAGAAGGTGTGCCTTGCTCATCCTTGTATCTCCTGGCTGGTTGTAGGTGTGAAACACATTTTTTAAAAAACCTGAATAATTAAAGTACCTACTGTGAGCCAAGAGCTGTATATGTCATCTCATTTAATCCTCTCAACAGGAATATGAGGTATTTTACTGAATGAGAAAGTAACTCGAAGAGATACAGTGACTTGCCTAAGATCCACAGAGAGAGATTTAAATCTCTGTTGATCAGAATCAAAGCCTGTGCTTTGTTCATAGAGCTACAGTGAGCCGAGATCATGCCACTGCACTCCAGCCTAGGCAACTGAGCGAGATTCTGCCTCGGAAAAAAAAAAAAAGGACTTCATAATATGGCAGCCACCGGTGCCACCCTTGATGTAATGTTTAATACAGCTAATCTTCCCAAAGATGAGGAAATTGACACCCACAGCTGATAGTTGAGAAAACTGAGCTGTCCAAGGTCACACAACTAGTAACTGGTGGAGATAGAATTGCAAACCAGATCCAATGGACTGCTCTTCCCACTGCCCAAGTGCCTCTTATGAATAATACATGCATACTTGCTTGTTTATACAGGCACAGTTTTCATGGGCTCATTATGACTGGATAATGTGTTTACTTTCGTAAGGAGTGTAGGCAGGTCCTTTGTTTGAATTCACAGACACTTCTGTAGCCTCAGCTAATTAAAAAAATAATGTTAGTAATGTGTAAAGTGGCAAATTGGCAGCATATATCAGAAGATTTAGAAATGTTTATTCTTTTTCAGCTAACTATTTCACTTTTAGGAATTTACCCTTGGGAAAGAATCAGAGATGCATAAAAATATTACATGTGGAGAATGTTCATCTCAGATGTTATTATAATATTACATATAATATTATTATATATGGAAAAATTGGAAGCAATCTGAATGTCCACCATAGGGATTGGTTAATTAAATTATGGCATGAGGCCAGGTGTGGTGGCTCACGCCTGTAATCCCAGCACTTTGAGAGGCTGAGGCAGGTGGATCACCTGAGGTCAGGAGTTCAAGACCAGCCTGGCCAACATGGTAAAACCCCATCTCTACTAAAAACACAAAAAATTAGCTGGGCGTGGTGGCAGGGCCTGTAATCCCAGCTACTTGGGAGGCTGAGGCAGGAGAATGGCTTGAACCCGGGTGGCAGAGGTTGCAGTGAGCCGAGATTGTGCTGTTGCACTCCAGCCTGGGCAACAAGAGTGAAACTCCATCTCAAAAAAAAAAAAAGATTTATGGCATGCCCTAATTAGCATGAGGAATTGCCAATGATAGGTTGCTAACTATATTTTATAACTATACTATTAATAATAGTTATAAAACTCTATCCTATTCTATTTAAAGATTATACATATGTATACATAAACATCTATGTATATATACACACACACTCTGGCTGGTATGAATTATTTCATTTTCTTTTTCAGACTCTAAATATTTTCCAGATTTTCAACACTGAACATGCATTACTTTTATAACAGAAAATATGTAAATAAAAAAAACCAGGGTAATAACTTTTCAGTGAGTGCTGAAGTCAGATCAATTTTTTTTTTTTTTTTGCGGGAGGAGATGGAGTCTCGCTGTGTCGCCCAGGCTGGAGTGCAGTCGCACGATCTCGGCTCACTGTAAGCTCCGCCTCCTGGGTTCATGCCATTCTCCTGCCTTAGCCTCCCGAGTAGCTGGGACTACAGGTGCCCACCACCACGCCTGGCTAATTGTTTTGTATTTTTTTTAGTAGAGACAGGTTTTCACCGTGTTAGCCATGATGGTCTTGATCTCCTGACCTCGTGGTCCACCCGCCTGGGCCTCCCAAAGTCCTGGGATTATAGGTGTGAGCCACAGCGCCCAGCCATATTTTTAACATATTATTTTAAATTCAAAACAATTCCAGTCTTATTTTAATAAACTGGACACTCACTAAAATACTTTCCTTAGTGTTTATGTTGTAAGGTTGCCTTATAAATGGGACTATCCTTTTAACTTTTTTTTGTTTTTCAGCTCCCACTTAGTATCAAATATAACTTTTAAAATAACCGAATATTCCTGGAAAGGACACAAGCAAGCCCTACCTTATGGCAAATTCCACTTTCTAGTAACTCGAAATAGAAACTTCCAATATATATCTTGCTTTTAACAGAAACGCAGGGGTTTAATTCATTAATCTCTTGGGTTCCAATTCTAAAACTTGCTTATTTATATAACTTTCAGGGCACAGTAACAAGTAGTGAGGGTTAAAGTTTTGGTCCTAAAGACCTAGCTGGCATTTCTTTGTGATTGTATTGAAGTTTTGAAGAACATTTTAAAATTTATATTTTGAATAGGTGATACATACCTAAAGAGTATGTCCTAGTCAGCTCGGCTGCTAAAACAAAATACCATAGCCTGGGTGGCTTAAACAACAGGCGTTTATTTCTCATAGTTCTGGAGACTGGGAAGTCTAAGATCAAGGTGCTGACAGATTTGGTTCTTGGTAAGGAGACTCTTCCTGGCTTGCAGATGGCCACCATTTGCTTGTGTACTTGCATGGTCTTTTCTCAGCACGTGTTCATGGAGATGAAGCCCTCCTGTCTCTTCCTCTTCTCATAAGGATACTAGTCCCATCATGAGGGCCCCACCTCACGACCTTCTAAACCTAATCACCTCCCAATGGTTCCATCACCAAATACCATCGCGTTGAGGGTTAGGCCTTCAACATATGAATTTGGGGGTTTTCATTTAATGCTAATGGGTTTTACGCCTTCTTAGAAAGGTCTTCTCCCCTCAGATTATTTAAAAATTTTCTCATGATTTTTTTCTAGTGCTTTTATAATTCTTTTCGTTTTTTACTTGATTGATCCATCTAGAATTCATTTTGGTGCATTGTATTAGGTATAAATCCAGACATACGGGTTTTTCTTTTTCCTACCTGGCAACCCAGTTGTCCCACTGCCATTGATTTAATCTCCATCCATATTTATTTTTGTATGTATTTGTATCTATTCCTGGATTTTGTTTTTATTAAAAAATGTTATGAGTGTTATACATGAATTCAGTTGCAAAGAAATTCAATCAGTAGTGAAGTGTAGAGGTAAAAAAGAGCTCTTCGCTTCCCTTCTACCCGTTTCCTCACACTTTTTCTGAGATAATGATTGTTAACAGATAATTGTGTGTTCCTTTTAGACCCTTTTCACTACTTGTGTTTCTACAAACACACATATATACAGCATATGTAATATTGTAAATTGCTGTAAATCACTTTCTTTCCCACTCATCCAGTGTCTTAGAGTTCTATGGTAATCCATGCAGTTCTACCTCATCATTTCTTTTTAACTTTTGCATGGATTGCAGAGTATGAATGTGTATCATACCTGGTTGTTGTTTGCATTTTTTTCTAATTCTGTCAAGACTATACAGATAGCTTATAAAGTATGTAGCATTGGTTCTCTTTACTTTGTGGTAAGCCTATTCTAAAAGTGAAATGTTTATGTATATGATTAACTTAGTGTTGTATAATTTATGAAGAAGAAAATCTGAACCACAGTGAGTGGTATGTTATTAATATTTTGTGATGCTCTTTCTTTCTAGATAAAATTTGATGCTGGGACTCTCCTTCTTAGTACACACCGACTGATTTGGAGAGATCAGAAAAATCATGTAAGATACAGTTTTTTACATCTGTTGAAGGTTTTATTTTGTTTATTTATTTTTTAGAGACAGGGTCTTGCTGTATTGCCCAGGCTGATCTCTAACTTCTGGGCTCAAGTGATTCTCCTGGCCTCAACCTCCCGAGTAGCCGGGACTACAGGAGTGAGCCACCATTGTAGGTTTTAAATCACTGAAACTTTTTCTTCTTTTTTCATTTCTGGTAAAACTTATATAATGAATGCAATAGTAAATTTTCCTTTTCTGAATGACAAAAGAGTGTGTCCCGTATAATTTCTCTGAATGGAGTGCAGAAACAGGAGTTAGCGTGTTGTCCCTTATTCAGCTCCAGAAAAGTCCATGTAGTTACTGGATGGAGAATCATGTTTTTTAAATACCAAATTCTACTCTATATCTAAATGGTCCATGTATAACAGGGGAATAATTCCCCCATCAGTTGTGAGGGAGTCTTTAAAAAGAGCTCGTATGTCCTTAAAACCAAATTGTGTTCTGGGTTGTTGTTGAGAATCAGGAGACTAGGCCTGCCATCAAGTGCATGCCTTTATCTAGATATTGAGATCTGTCTCTAAGTCACTCAGCAAGAGGAGTCCCCCACACCCTCCATTTTTTTTTTTTTTGAGACAGAGTCTTGCTCTGTCACCCAGGCTGGAGTGCAGTGGTGTGATCTCGGCTCACTGCAACCTCCGCCTCCCAGGTTCAAGCGATTCTCCTGCCTCAGCCTCCTGAGTAGCTGGGATTACAGGCATGTGCCACCATGCCCAGCTAATTTTTGTATTTTTTTAACAGAGACAGGGTTTAGCCATATTGTTCAGGCTGACCTGACCTTGCGATCCGCCCACCTCAGCCTCCCAAAGTTCTGGGATTACAGTTGTAAGCCACCTTGCCCGACCTGTTTTTTTTGTTTTTTTTTTTTAAGGAAGATGGAGAGTTATATGTATGTAGAGCTGATATATATCTTTATTTCCTAGAGCTTCAACCTGAATGTATATATACATTAATTTCAGCATTGCCAGTAAGATGGCTATCTCATCTGTGTTTTTATTTTCCTGATTATTCCCCCAAACCCCCGTGAAATTTTAGTACCACAAATAAACTATATACTGTACTGTAGCCCTTGAAGGGCTGCTAACCATTACAATATCTGACTTTTTTGCACCCTGGGAACTAATTTTTGTCTCCTAGGTCTGATATTGCCCCTGTTGATAAGGCATGCCTTAGAGCGGGAGTCCCCAACTCCCCGGGCCACGAGCCAGTACTGGTCTGTGGCCTGTTAGGAACTGGGTCACATAGCAGGGGGTGAGTGACAGGTGAGCAAGCATTACCACCGGAGCTCCACTTCCCATCAGATCAGCAGACGCATTAGATTCTCGTAGGAGCACGAACCATATTGTGAACTGTGCATGCAAGGGATCTAGGTCGTGCACTCCTTATGAGAGTCTAATGCCTGATGATCTGAAGTGGAACAGTTTCACCCCGAAACCACAACGCCCTGCTCTCCAGGAAATGCTGTCTTCCACGAAACCAGTCCCTGATACAAAAAAGGTTGGGGACTGCTGCCTTAGACTGTTAATATTATCTAATCCTTTTACAAGTAATATATATTCAGGAAATAAATTTTTTTGGGGAGGATAGAATGCATGTCCTTAAACCATATGTTGATAAGTTAATCTTAGTATAATTTTTTGATTATCATATAAAGAGGTCCATCGGACCAAACTTTAGACTTACTACATTGCTAGTCACATAAAATTAAACACAACTGTTTATATAATGTTAAAACTAAGGCCAGGTGTGTGGCTCATGCCTGTAACCCCAGCACTTTGGGAGGCTGAGGCAGTGGATCACCTGATGTTGGGAGTTCGAGACGCCAGAACTGACCAACATGGAGAAGCCCCATCTCTACTAAAAATACAAAATTAGCTGGGCGTGGTGCACATGTCTGTCATCCCAGGCACTCGGAGGCTGAGACAGGAAAATCGCTTGAACTGAGAGGCAGAGGTTGCAATGAGCCAAGGTTGCGCCATTGCACTCCGCCTGGGCAACAAGAATGAAACTCCGTCTCAAAAAAAAAAAAAAAAAAAATTAAACATACTGCTAGACACAGTGGCTCATGCCTGTAAATCCCTGGCACTTTGGGAGGCCGAGGCAGGGGATCACTTGAGATCAGGAGTTCAAGACTAGCATGTCCAATGTGGTGAAAGCCCATCTCTCCTAAAAATACAAAAATGAACGCCAGGCATGGTGGCTTACACCTATAATCCCAGCTACTTGGGAAGCTAAGGTGGGAGGATCACTATTGAACCTGGGAGGCAGAGGTTGCAGTGAGCCAAGATTGTACTACTGCACTAGCCTTGGCGACAGAGCGGAGACTTCCATCTCAAAAAAAAAAGTTAAACATGAATAAAGGGATACTACATCATATTTTGTTGGTTTAAAACTATTAATAATGCATGTGGGCATAATGAAAATGGAAAATTATAAAGAAGAAAATCATCTACATTTAACCCTCCTTAAAATGTTTTGACGTATCTGTTTTTTTTTTGCTTTCAGTGTAAGAAAATATTACAAGTAAAACATTTTCGTAGAAACATTATCTTAGAAAATGCACCCATTGTGGCTGGGTCCGGTGGCTCCTGCCTGTAATCTCCGCACTTTGGGAGGCCACCAAGGCAGGCAGATCACGAGGTCAGGAGATCATAGACCATTGGCTAACATGGTGAAACCCCGTCTCTACTAAAAATACAAAAAAATTAGCCCCAGGCATGGTGGCGGGCCGCCTGTAGTCCCAGCTACTTGGGAGGCTGAGGCAGGAGAATGGTGTGAACCTGGGAGCGGGCAGTTGCAGTGGGCCATGAGATCACGCCACTGCACTCCAGCCTGGGCGACCAGAGCGAGACTCCGTCTAAAAAAAAAAAAAGAAAATGCACCCATTGTAAAAACAAAAGCTAGTGACAGCTTCTTTTAAACTTCTTATGTTCTTCCATGCAGCCACATGCCACCACAGTATCGTTTCCATTTAATTTTTCCTTAAGTTCGTTTAAGTAACAAAATCATTGTTTTTCATTATTTTTATTATTAGGGTATATGGCACTGTAATGCTATAAAACAAGGATTTCTGACAAGTGTTATGGATGTTGTTTAGAGTCTTTGATTTAAGCTATTGATTTCCTTCTAGGAGTGTTGCATGGCCGTTCTCCTTTCCCAAATTGTGTTCATTGAAGAACAGGCAGCTGGAATTGGGAAGAGGTAAGGTCTATATAGTACAGTCTTTATTCACAGAAAACATTTCCTGTTATGCTATTGGTCAGAAGGTCCTATCTTAGACTCAATGATGTATGAATTGATTCTTAAGCATGAATAATTTGCTGTAATATCCTTGTTTATTATACATGGGTCATAATAAAGAAATGTGGGCCTGGTGCGGTGGCTCACGCCTGTAATCCCAGCACTTTGGGAGGCTGAGGCGGGCAGATCACGAGGTCAGGAGATCGAGACCATCTGGCTAACATGGTTAAACCCTGTCTCTACTCAAAATACAAAAAATTAGCCGGGTGTGGTGGCGGGCACCTGTAGACCTAGCTACTTGGGAGGCTGAGGCAGGAGAATGGCATGAACCTGGGAGGCGGAGCTTGCAGTGAGCTGAGATCGGGCCACTGCACTCCAGTGTGGGGGACAGAGCGAGACCTCGTTTCAAAAATAATAATAATAAATAAATAAATAAATAAAAATAAAAAAAAGAAATGTGGCCCAGTTATCATTATCTTTCCATAAACACTTTGCTTTCACTTGCCTGTGTACCTGTCATTTCATACTTAAAATCGGAAATAACCTATTTGAGAAAAATAACTGACTTTGCTTCTGTTTCTAACCTGATCATTAAGTTTGTTTCTCAGGTTTTACTTGTTCAGATAGCAGAGTTAAACAGCATATAATAATAGTTACTGTACAAAGCAGGACATTTATCAGAATAATAGCAGGTACAATGAACAATTAGACCAGGGTAACAAGGATACAATGGGACCATCCCAGGCAAACCAGGAGATGAGGCCACCTTGGTATAAAGGTGTAAGTTCAAATGTTCCTGTTTATTCAGATATATCGAAAACTTGGCTTTATATTTTAAGTGCATGTCATTGAGGAGACATGAACAAATATTATTGGCATGGGATTTTTTTTTCCTATGTAGGCTTATCTTTAGGTTTAGCATAATTAGGCATTTCAGTAGAAGTTAAACAATGTTGAGCTTCACTGGACATGCAATGCATGCTTTGATCATAATGTTATGATTTACTGTAAAATATTATTTATGTGACATAAAAGAAACCAATGTTTTAAAAAATTAATAAGCCATAGATTTTTTTAAGCCATAGATTTTTAGGGTAGATTGTTATTATGATTTATATTTTCCCCTTATCAATTTTCTCCACTATATTAAGTTCTAAAAAGTAAACTTTAAGGTTGTTTCCAGGTTATTTGAATTTTCCTTTCCTGTGTTCCAAGGAAATCTAAACTAAAAAAAAATTTTAAATATTTACCTTCACGTTAATGTCTTATTTTTTAAACATGTCCAGTGAGGAGGACTTCAGTAATATGCCAAGTTAACTTTTGTCAAGTATTCTCTTTAGTTCCCAGCCCCTCCCCTCAAACAGTTATATTTGCATTGATTTCAAGATGTGTACATTTCACCTTTTAACATCTCTGAAGATGCTTTTTTTATTTCATAGATTTAAAATTTAATGAAGTATAGTAATTGGATGACTTGATAAAAGAATATATACAAAATTTGGCATAGATTTTTTATGCTTACTTTGGAGCTTTTAAACTTTATTTAATTATACTTACTACTTTTTCAATGGGTGTCCTTTCACAGAATCTGATAGTAGGGCTGAGGGTTTTTTTTAGTTTCAAAGACTATGAAATGCTTTTGCTTGGTTATCTTATCATAATTGTCATAGTTTTGTTGCTCTACTTGATGATTTGTTTCAGACAGTTCTATGATTCTGCTCACATAGTTAATTTTCTCACTTCACTTAAAGAAGTTTACCACAAGGGAATAGGAGGAGTCCTTACAAGACTGGCCCTACCCATTCACATTGAGGAGGCCCAATGCCTGGTGTTTCAATTTTACAGTAATATTTAGGTAACCATATGGTTCCAAAAAAAGAAAAGTAAAATTGAGTGTGTATCTATAGCATGATCAACACAGAAAAAGCACTAAACTAGGTACCTGGGATACTTTGAGTTTTTTAGTTTCCCAGATCTTTATAGGATTGCTTATTGACTAGGTTGAAAAAAAAAGGAGGAAAACAGACTTATTAAGCTGACCAAATATAGTGGTATTTTTAATAGCATAGAAGATAATGATAGTCATAAAGATAATGGTAGTTTGTGTTCTTAGAGCCACAGCATTTTCGGAATTGTTTTTGCTATTGGCTATCTTTCCAGATCATGCTGTTGATTGAGTGGCATTTTCCAACAAATGACACTGTAGAATGTTAGTTTTGGATGGAATTTTAATAAAATATCAGCTGGCCATTTTTACAGATAAGTTTTCACTTTTTGTTTTCAAATGAATAAGGGTGTATGCTTTGGCAGAAATCATAGGCCCCCTTATAACCTCTGGGGATGTTTGTAGTTGGAAAACCATAATCATAAACTCAAACTTTCGCAAATTTATTTTGACCTTATTTTCTAAAGTCACACTCTAATTTAATCTACAGAGCTAGTAACTTGAAGCTTTTTGGTTCATAGCTTATAAGTTTTAAGTAGAGACATTTTTGAAAGCTTTATTAATATTGAATTAATACACACTATAAAAGGATGCTTTTTGGGATATTTGTTTCTACATGAATTTTAAAAGTGATTTGAAACACATAAAAAGTTATAAAAGTAGAATTAGTTATATATATTTTTTGAAAAGCAATTCAATATATTACATTTGTTCTTTCTTCAGTGCCAAAATAGTGGTTCATCTTCACCCAGCTCCTCCTAACAGAGAACCTGGCCCATTCCAGAGTAGTAAGAACTCCTACATCAAACTCTCCTTCAAAGAACATGGTCAGATTGAGGTAAGTTTCTACATGAATAAAATTGTACTAGAAAGGTGTGTGTATGTGTGGTATGTATGTGTGTGTGTGCTGTGGCTTGTTAATATGATGGAAGGTAGTATTATACAACATACCAGATTTCACCATAGTTTTACAATAAAATTTTATTATATCCTAAGCCTTAGCAGTGAGCGGAGAGTATGAAGTTTAGGTTTCAGTGGGAATGGGAAGCAGAGGGTGTGGTCCCAAGGAAGGAACAGAGGCTGGAAAATACACTAAGTCATGCCATTTGCCTACTAGCAGAGTTTTCAGTGGTATAGTTTAGTTAAATGAACAGAATATAAATGGAATGATATGTTGAACTATCTCAGTATCTGAAGGTTCCCCAGCTTTAAATCAGGCTGTCTGTCTTGATTAACTCCAGTTAATCTTAATCACTTAAGTACTTATTCTGCAGTATAATAGTTTATATGTTCCAAATAAGTTGCTATGCAATAATTCTTAAGATAATTAGAAGTATGTATTCTGCCCATCAATATCATAAATTATTATTAATTTTTTCTATAGCACCTCACCCAGTGCTCCTGACAAGTGATCACTAAGCGTATGAAAAACATATTTGATTATTTGTGAGCATAGGTATGTTTTGGTCCTACTTTTTGGTTTTATATTTTAACTAGACAAATTATGCTCTGCTTCCTTCATGGAGAATGGTTGTATATTTTTCCTGGCACTGTGTTTGTTTCATTATAGATTGAAAACAATCCACATATGCAGGATTGTTTAAAGTAAGTCTATTGATTTCATTGTCACTCATCTCTTTGTTGAGAATAGCCTACTTTATATAGAAGGTCAGTTCCTTCTTTTTTTTCCTTTGTGCTTTCTGAAGCTGATCCAAGAAAAGAATTTCCTTTGATTTTCTTTGATGTCTCTGAGAATTCTGGGCTTGCTGCAAATGACTGAACAACAGACTTTTATACTAAAGAAATGTTAAGTGGCCAGGCGCAGTGGCTCACGCCTATAATCCCAGCACTTTGGGAGGCCGAGGCGTGCAGATCACCTGAGGTCGAGAGTTCAAGACCAGCCTGACCAATATGGAGAAACCCCATCTCTACTAAAAATACAAAATTAGCTAGGTGTGGTGGCACATGCCTGTAATCCCAGCTACTTGGGAGGCTGAGGCAGGAGAATCGCTTGAGTTAGGGAGGCGGAAGTTGTGGTGAGCCTGGATCACACCATTGCACTCCAGCCTGGGCAACAAGAGCGAAACTCCACCTCAAAAAAAAAGAAGGAAATGTTAAGTAATGATTTATACAAGGATGCTACAATCTGACTGACTCATTTAAAGTGTATTTATTTGCATAACAGTTTTACAGGCGTTTATCAGAGGAAATGACACAGAGAAGATGGGAGAATATGCCAGTTTCCCAGTCATTACAAACAAATAGAGGACCCCAGGTATTTTTAAAACTATTTGCTAATCCAGTATTTTCAACTCTGTACTTACATCTTCATTAAGAAAAAGACTCTATGATTGTAGAACTTGCCTAAAACAAAATACTGCAATGGCATTCTGATAAAGAATTTATTTTTGACCGGGCACGGTGGCTCACGCCTTTAATCCCACCACTTTGGGAGGCCAAAGCGGGGCAGATCATGAGGTCAGGAGTTCGAGATCTGCCTGGCCAACATTGTGAAACCCTGTCTCTACTAAAAATACAAAAATTAGCCAGGCGTGGTGGTACATGCCTGTAATCCCAGCTGCTCAGAAGGCTGAGGCAGGAGAGTCACTTGAACCTGGGAGGCAGAGGTTGCTGTGAGCCAAGATTGTGCCATTGCTCTCCAGCCTGGGCGACAGGGGCGAGACTTCATCTCAAAAAAAAAACAAAAATTATTTTCACAGCACCTAATTTAGTGCTGTCTATACAGCAGACACTTAGTAAGCATAAATAACTGCTTACCAGCATAATTCTTAGGGTGATAGAAGGTAGAGTTCACCCACTGAATTCTGTGCTTCATAGTCAGTGTGGCATTTGAGAGAACAGACAGTACAGCTGGGTGATGTTTTCCAGGCCTGTTTAAATTAATCACCAACACTAGACAGGTACTCAAATGTATGAAAGTAGCTTGGATAATAAGTGTTAATTAAGAACCAAAATTTAAACTGTGACTTTTTTGTACATTTGAGACCCTATTAAGTATCTGATACATAATAGCTTGCCAAAGAAGGAAAATGATAGGAAATTTAACTTATATCTAAAATGCAGAGTAAAATATGCCATTTATTATATATTTGGTTTTTCTTGAATGATTTTAAGATCATTATGTACAGCAAGAAACAAACACATGTTTTGAAGGGAAGCTAAACGTCAGTGTATGCTATTTTTCTTTGGTTCTTTGTGGGTCCTTTCCCGCCATTGAAAAGACAATGTGGTTGGTTACAAAAGATTTTATTTGCTTCCTATTTTGTATGTTTTATTTTCTACTTCTTTTTTTTTCAGCCAGGAAGAATAAGGGCTGTAGGAATTGTAGGTATTGAAAGGAAACTGGAAGAAAAAAGAAAAGAAACGGACAAAAACATTTCTGAGGTAACTGTTAAATTCTGGCTCTGCATCTATTCCAGCCATTTGTGTCTATTCTTTTAGATACAGCTGTGACTAATTCCCTTCTGTAATTTAGAATATATTTCATTTGCCTGAAGCTACATAGTCTCCTATTCTCTTTAACAGGTCTACCTCGGACTGGCAAAATCTAACCAAAACCTCTTTCTGAAAGGAATAAAAAAGAAATGCAAATTTGCTTGCTGTTAGAAAATACCATAGAATGTTGTGTGTGGATTTTAAAGTCTAGATGGAATTGATTGAAGGATACTCCTAATGAGTTCAGGGTTCTCTATATAATGATTTTGGAAGTTGAAGTAACTTAGTTGAGAGAAAAATGCTATTCTGTGGCCACTGTCTGTGGCCAGATACCACACCATTTTATGTTGATGACCACCCAGGGATCAGACCAGACATCACTAAGAATGGCTCAAAGCAGCCCATCACTTCTACTAGGAGACAACCCTGAGCATGTACTTTCCAATGTTTTGAAGCTTCATCATATATGAGGAAATTCAAGAGAAGGGGAAAGAACTCTAGCTAAAAAGACCAGTATGCATTAGATTCTGTAATTAGTTAATACAGCTAAACGTATCATTGATTTTTCCATGCTTATATAAAAATGGTCTTGGTTTTGTATTAAATGATGCTTTAAAGTAAATCTCTGGTTTTTATAGTAATTCATAAGTAAAATTCCATGATGGTTGCTGTTCAGAGAATTTCAAAGATTTATGTCAATCAAGTAAAGTCTAAAACTGCAAATAGTTATTTAAATACTTATTTTGGACTCACTGGGAACCAAGGGCATTTGACCTGTTAAGTGCCCATAGTAGGTTTTTCTGGATGTGTGTGTATCTGTGCTGAAGTTGTGTATTTTCCTCAACCCTGTATTTTCCCCAAATTGGCAGCTGGATCCAGAATCTCTGTCACACTCATGTTCTGTCCCTTTGGCAAAACTAGAGGTGATGCAGTGTTCTTTCGTGGGAGGCACATCTTATCTCTGTCATGTTAGCAGCTGTTAATATTCAGTGCCTAGATCTATTAGTTCATTGGTTGTGGTAAATAGTGATAATTCTGTCTTTATTTTTCATTTATTAGTTGGAATACTTTTTAAAGAAATGTTTCCCTTATCTACTATTTGGTTGTCCAGTTCATATAGGAAAGGCTGGATAATTGCATTTTCCTTTATCATCAGGGTAATAAATTGTTTCCTTGTTATCTTTTTGACGATGACTAATTAGGTTTTTTTTTTTTTTTTTTTTTTTTTTGGAGAACAGAGTCTCGCTGGTGTCGCCCAGCTGGAGTGCAGTGGCTCGATCTCGGCTCACTGCAGGCTCCGCTCCCGGGTTCACACCATTCTCCTGCTCAGCCTCCTGAGTAGCTGGGACTACAGGTGCCTGCCACCACGCCCGGCTAATTTTTTTTGTAATTTTTAGTAGAGACGGGGTTTCACATGTTAGCCAGGATGGTCCTCGATTTCCTCGACCTCGGATGTCATCGCCTGCCTCGACCTTCCCAGAGTACTGGGGATTACAGGCGTGAGCTACTGTGCCCAGCTGACTAATTAGGTTTTTTTTTTTTAACATGTCAGTTAGGAATCAATGAAGTTTAGCATATTTGATGGATTTCAATCGGTTATAATCTATTATCCTATTTGAAGCTCAATGTCGGGTGTCCCATCTTTTGGCCAGGGAGCCTGCTTCAAGTTGGCCCCTCTAAGTGCTTTTGTTGTGACTAAGGAGAACCTTTGTAGCTTCCTTCACTATCCTGGTGTGACCAAAGCGTTCTAGGACCATCTGTGTACATTTCCTGCCCTCAGATCCAGAACAAACCATTTATCCTGAGAAACTCTGGTTTCTTTCTTTTTTTGTTTTTTGAGACAGAGGTCCTTACTCTTTCGCTTTAGGCTGGAATGCAGTGGCCTATCTTGGCTCACTGCAACTCCTCCACTTCCTGGGTTCAACAAATTCTCCCTGCCTCAGCTCCCGAGTAGCTGGATTACAGCGTGCGACCCACTGCCCCAGTAATTTTTGGTATTTTAGTAGAGACGGGTTTCACCATGTTGGTCAGGCGGGTCTTGGAACTCCTTGACCTCGTGGACCCCCGTGCCTCGCTCCCAGAGTGGCTGGCGATTATAGGCGTGAGCACCGCGCCCAGCCCGCTCTGTTTTCTTTTAGTGGGAAATGATATTTCAGAACCACAATCTGCTTGCTAGTAATATTCATCACTATTGGGTTGATCTTTGTTTCTAGGCTTTTTCAACGGACAGAGCTAGAATTTTGTTGTTGTTAATATAAAGTGCCTAACAAGAGCATACCTATCTTTTCTATTCAAATTTAAGATGACACTACGAGATAATTACTAAAACAGTTGAAAAAAAAATGTATATGTGTTTTCCCCATTCTTCGTACATTTGAAAAATAGGTGCTCTGTATTTACACCGTCTGAGCATGCAGCCACTGCATACACTCTCCCCTCAGCTCCAGCTCTCATTGACTCTTAGTTTTATAAGTACCTCCATGTTTAGTACCACCAGCCCTCAATGCTGAGCTCTCTGTGGTCGCTTTGGTTGTCTGAAGTCCATTCTGTAATAGATTTTTAAGGAAATGATCATAGGAACAATATTCCCTGTATCTGCCATGTTTGTCTTCCTTATACATGAAGGTCAGTTTTGTTGGATTTAAAATCCTCAGCTCACATTTTCTTTCTTTGAGTGTCTTCACTATATTACCTTCTTTTTTTTTTTTTTTTTTTTTGGTCTGGCATGAAGTGTTGCTATCAAAAAGTGATGATAATTTAATTTTTTCCCTTTAAAAGACAGTTGCTATTTTTCCTAGATGGGCAAAGGATTTTTAAATTTTACTTTAAAGCCCAGTAATTTTACTAGAATGTGTCTATTAGTCATTGTGAGTTGTTATTCTTAGTTACATGCTGTGCTTTTTCAGTAAATAGTTTCAGGAATTCTTTAATTTCAGGGAAATTTTCCTGTATTATAACTTTCTTTTTTTTTGAGATGGAGTCTGGCTTTGTTGCCCAGGCTGGAGTGCAGTGGCGCAATCTTGGCTCACTACAACCTCTGCCTCCCGGGTTCAAGCAATTTTCCTGCCTCAGCCTCCCAAGTAGCTGGGACTACAGGCGCCCGCCACCTCGCCTGGCTAGTTTTTTTTTGTATTTTTTAGTAGAGATGGGATTTCACCATGTTAGCCAGGATGGTCTCGATCTCCTGACCTCGTGATCTGCCCGTCTCAGCCTCCCAAAGTGCTGGGATTATAGGCATGAGCCACTGTGCCTGGCCTATAATTTTCAATAATTGCTTTGATTTTTTTTCTTCTGGGACTCCTATTAGCTGTATGTTGCAGTTTCACTGCCTGTCTTCACTGTTTGTGACTCTAATGCTTTTCATTTCTTTCCTCATTTCTTTTTTATTTAGGAAGTTTTCCTCTTTTTCACCTTTCTTTGAAGGTTTTATCTGTTGTGTTTATTCACTCATGTCTGTCTAGTGTAGCCTTTATTTCTGAAATGGTTTTTTTCCTTTTATTTTTAATTCTTTCCTGTCACCTATTTCTGATTTATATTGAACCTTCATAGCTTGTATCATCTTCCTAACATCTTTTAGCTTATTTTGATATAAAAGGTTAATAGTGGACCCTCCCATAATTGAAGTAGGCACAATCCTCCCCATTTTAGGCACTGTCCTCAAATTGGCCTACTTTACTTTCTAGTGAATCCCTATTGGCTCTCTTGGGGCTCTTGCTTTCTCAGGTCTGTGGGTTACATTGTTGCTTTTCTTTTCTTTCTCCTGCCTAGATCCTGGCATCCTGCAGGTCTTGTGGCTCTTAGTGGTTTGCCCTACCCGCTTGTATCTTGAGGGGTTTTTGCTAGTATCTTACACTTAGTATTGTAGTATATGTTACCTATGGGGTTTTTGGTTTTAAAATCTAGTTGCCCTGTTTTCATGTTGTGATTTGGAGAGATTCAAAAACTGTGCTGCCATAGCCACCATCTTTTCAGAATCATCTATTCTGAGAAGATTCATAAAATTTCAACATTTTAGCATTAGAAGGGTTCTTATTATTCAGAGAAGAAATTGTCTCAGAGTGAGTGACTAGATTTGGAACGAGGCAGATGAGAACACGTCTCCTGATTTGCAGGCAGTTTGCTGGTGGCGACAGTGCACCACATCACCACTCTCTTCGCCACCTAGAAGGTGCTGTCACCATCCTCTTACAGCAGTGTCTGTTGTCATCCTCTTTGTGTCAACACTTTTGGAGATGGCATGGAGCAGTGGGCTGATTTTGCATTATTTGTATTTTTCTTTCTGAATACTGCCATACTAACTCAATGTTATGTTGAAAATAATGTTTTTCTTAATTTATCAAGTAAATTATTTTGTTTCAGTCTAATTTTCTTGGAGTCGCATAGTTCAAAAGATTCTACATAAGCATTGTGCTCCACCATACAGATCATTAATTTATTCAGCAGATCATTAACCATGCAGATCATTAATTTATTCAGCAGATCATTAACCACGCAGATCATTAATTTATTCAGCAGATATTCCTTCCTACTGGGCCTTGATTCAGAGGCTGGGGATACTGTGGTGATGCACAGACACAGGGCAGGCAAAGAGGCATTATTCATGGTGGGAGAAACACCTTGCAAGGAGAACATATAGGGTGCAGCAGGGACGTATAACATGATCCCTAACTTCTGTTGAGGTCACGGAGGGCTTGTTAGCAGCAGGAATATGGAAGTCAAAGGCTGAAAGATGAATAGGCTCTAGCAGATGACCAGCATGGATAAGAAGAACGCAGGAAAAGGGAATGGAATCTGCAAGGCACATTCAAGAATACTGAAGTGAAAAATCAAGAATATACTGAGTTACTGACGCTAATAGCCAAAGTGATAACTAAAAGTCAGTAAGAAATCATGTTGTAAGTCAGCTTAAGGGGGTACTCCTGGTTTTAAAACAGGTGCTGTTTTTCTCAAATTTGGAGTGGAAATTTGACTATAGGTGTGGTAGAGGGATACAAGGTTCCATAAACTGGCAGATGCAATTATAGAATGGATATGTGCATCTCTTTTGCTTTAATTTTTATTGTAGGTAGTTTCTTTACTCATTTTTTGATAGTTGACTAATTCCAAATTTTATAATAATTATAGAAATACAAGTGAGGAAGCTTTTCTCTGTGTTTTATAATCACTTAAAATATTTATAGACACTTCTGAGGCACTAAAATATTTACTTTTTTTTAATTGCCTATGTGTAAGTTTACAGGGCTTATTTATGTATTCTTTGTGGACTCTCAACTTAGCATATTTTTTCTACAACAACATAATAATAATAAATACAGTGATTTACCATATACAATATAAATGTGTTATCTTTACTAGTTTTCTTTACACAGATAAAAAAATCTTATTAATATCTTATATATTAAAAGTAAAAACCTAAGTGTGCAAAATGTATGTTTTATTTTTGAAAACTAGGTTGGTGTGTGATTTGCCCTCTATCTAAATGTTAGAATTGACTTAGTTTCAGAGCTGGTGCCCAGAGTTTCTCACAAAGGGTTTCCTGCATCTGCTGGCTCTAGCTGATAAGAATCCAGTGTTTAAGCCTTTTGTTTATCTAAGGAAATTCCTGTTAGGTGTGTGCACATTCCCCTTTGTTTTCAGTATTAACCTTAGTGAGTTGGCCATAAGAATACGCAACACACTATTCTTTTAGCAAAATCCTTTTGCAGATGGGGGAGGCTTTCCTGCAGATGGGCATAAGCTGGTCAGAGCCACTATTATGTTTCAGACCACCATATGGACTGATATTTCAGTTAATGACAAGCTGCTTAACTGGTTTTAAAAAATGACATCTGTATGCATCAATTAGATAAGATATTCTGCACTGGGAGTATATTTTCAGTAACTTGAAATAATTTATTATAAATATATTTAAATTCAAAGAGGCCTTCGAAGTAGTTTTTTGCTGTAGCAAATTAAACAGTTGATTCTACGTAGATACATTTAGATGGTATTTGAATGTTTTTCTTTTGTGATATCCACCATATCTACAAGCATAATGGGTTTGATAATCAGAGCCTGAGACTTACTGTTTCAGTTAAGTCAGACCTGTGTTAAAGCCAAAATTACTGTGCCCAGATAACTATTCCTGCAGCTGTGTATTGCCATTTTTAACTAGGAATGCTTTGTAGTGCTTTTTATTCTTGACTTCCTATTAGAAAATGATTTTAGAAAAAAACCAGTGACGGTGACAGAATTTCTTACTTTTGTCAAATAACAGTAAATAATATTTTCTGAACTACTGTTTATATCACCTTTTGCTTATTTAATCAATAATAATTATTTTCTCTTTGAAAATGTGAAGTTATTTTGTAGTTTGGAAAATGTATGGTTTTTTAGCTAAAATGCAATTTCAGAGTAAGGTAGATTTATTATTTATATAAATATTTATTAACAAATTGATATTTGCAAGAAAATTTCAAATTTTTATTTATTTATTTTTATTTTTTATTTTTTTGAGACAGAGTCTTGCTCTGTCCCAGGCTGGAGTGCGGTGGCGCCATCTCAGCTCACTGCAAGCTCCCGGGTTCACACCGTTCTCCTACCTCACCCTCCCAAGTAGCTGGGACTACAGGCGCCTGCCACCACGACCGGCTAATTTTTTTTGTATATTTAGTAGAGACGGGGTTTCACCGTGTTTGCCAGGATGGTCTTGATCTCCTGACCTCGTGATCTGCCCGTCTCGGCCTCCCAGAGTGCTGGGATTACAGGGGTGAGCCACCGCGCCCGGCCGAAAATTTCAAATTTTTATGGGGAAAAAGTAGAGGGTGCTTCATTGCTTTAATTATTTAGATGGATTTCAACAAAAATTCATTTCTCATTTCAGGCCTTTGAGGACCTCAGCAAACTAATGATCAAGGTATATATCATTTATGCCTATTAAATTCATACCAATTATGATACAGGTTTTGAAATATATTTTGTAAGCAGACATTTTGGGGACAATATTGCTTTTTCAGTCTTTACTTTTTATTTGACAGGCTAAAGAAATGGTGGAGTTATCAAAATCAATTGCTAATAAAATTAAAGACAAACAAGGTGATATCACAGAAGATGAGGTAAATAAGTTGCTTTTTTTAAGGCATTTGAAACTAGATAACACAAATAATGCAGGAAGGTTTTTGTGGTTTACATTGTCTTTCTGAATGTACTGTTGTATTTATTATTTATGTTTTATTTATTATTTATTTATTTATGAGACGGAGTCTCGCTCCGTCGCCCAGGCTGGAGTGCAGTGGTGTGATCTCGGCTCACTGCAACCTCTGCCTCCCAGGTTCAAGCGATTCTCCTGCCTCAGCGTCCTGAGTAGCTGGAACTACAGGCGTATGCCACACGCCCGGCTAATTTTTTGTATTTTCAGTAGAGACTGGGTTTCACCGTGTTAGTCAGGATGGTCTTGATCTCCTGACCTGGTGATCTGCCTGCCTTGGCCTCTCAGAGTGCTGAGATTACAGGCGTGAACCACCGCGCCCAGCCTGTTTTATTTCTTTTAGGACTTGAGGATATGTGAAAGTGCCAAAGAAAAGTCAACCATAAAAATTATATTAGTTCTATTAGGATTAAAGGCTATTTCAATGTCCTTTTTTAGAGTGTAGAAAACAGAAATACTGAAATGTACAAGGAGTGGCTGTCCTAAGTTTGATGTTTGTTTCATTCAGTTTGTCTACAATCTAATCACAGCTATTTTCCTAAGTTTTCAGTTGTACTATTTGGTTGGCATTAAATATAGCAGAGGCATTTTCTGAATCTCACATCAAACTTGTGAAGTAAACAGAATATGAGAGACCAGCAGAGAAGTAGGAAGGAGAATAATTAGATGTATGCAGGGAACTCCTGGAAATCTGCTCTCTTACAGTTCACAGCACAGAAACACAGTAGAGGGAATGGGGATATGTAGAAATTATTGAGTGGAATTGAATTTGTCATGGAAGAATTTCAAATATTGAGGTGGAGAGACAATTCTGCATTTTCTCCTCTTTTATTATAGACCATCAGGTTTAAATCCTACTTGCTGAGCATGGGAATCGCTAACCCAGTTACCAGAGAAACCTACGGCTCAGGCACACAGTACCACATGCAACTGGCCAAACAGCTGGCTGGAATATTGCAGGTGCCTTTAGAGGTAAAAATTAAACCTATGTGTTTTTTTTAAACTATGTGAAAGTAGCCGTATGTCATCAGAAGAGTTAAAAAGAGCATAACTCCTTTCATGATATGGTTATTGTCAACTGACATGTTTTTTTTTTTTTTTTCTTTCAGGTATATTAAATAAGTTCACTGTGCTTATTATTCTTTGTAATTTTCTAATTTGTTTTTAATTTTCATTTTTGACATCTATAACTTTCTAAATCTATTTGATATGAAGTTTTCCTTATTTTTAAAAAGGAAATATATGATCTTTCTCTGAATAGATATATTTCCATACATCTAGTCTTTACTATTTAGTACTATTAATCATTCCATAATCCAGATTCATCTTCTAGTCTGATAGTATTCAGGCAATCAAAAGTTTATTAAAGCACTTGTATTAAAAAAGATTTCAAACCTATGCCAAATAGAATAGTATAATGAATCCTCTGTAGCCATCATCCAGCTTCTTCTGTAAACCAACCTCCACTCAAAATTATATGAAAGCAAATCCCAGACATCACATCACTTTATCTGTAAACATTTCAGTATGTAACTCTAATGATAAAGACTCCTTTAAATACAACTGTAATCCCATTTCATAATCTAAAAAATTAAAATAATTTCTTAATGTTATCTAATATCTAGTGTTCACGTTTTCTTTTCCACCACGGTACCCAGCTAATTTTTTGTATTTTTAGTAGAGACGGGGTTTCACCGTGGTCTCAATCTCTTGACCTTGTGATCTGCCCGCCTCAGCCTACCAAAGTGCTACATTTTCTTTTCTTTTTTTCTTGAGACAGAGTCTCACTCTTGTTGCCCAGTCTGGAGCACAGTGGCGCAATCTCAGCTCACTGCAACCTCTGCCTCCTGGGTTCAAGCAAATCTCCTGCCTCAGCCTCCTGAGAGGCTGGGATTACAGGCGCCCGCCACCACGCCCGGCTGATTGTTTTATATTTTTAGTAGAGATGGAGTTTCACCATGTTGGCCAGGCTAGTCTGAAACTCCTGACCTCAGCTGATCCCTCCGCCTTGGCCTCCCAAAGTGCTGGGATTACAGGTGTGAGCCACCGAGTCAGCCTAGTATTCACATTTTCCCTTACAGTTGATCTGTTTCAATCAGGATTCATTGCAGTTTGTTGATTTGTTTCAAAAGTTTGTTTGTTTGTTTGTTTTTAATTTCATGGGTTCTTTCTTCTCTGGCCTCTCTTACCTCCCACCCCACAATGTGTTTCCTGAAGAAATTAGTTGTTTAGATTATAGAGTGTGCTTTTCCGGTCCTATGTATTTCCTATAAACTGGTATTTATAATAAAGGTTTGTTAGGGTTTTTAAAAATTATTATTGCAAGACTATTTCATAGAGGCTGTTGTGTACTTCCATCAAGAGATACATAATGTCCAATTGTCTTTTTTTAAATTTAAAAAAAAAATTTTGTGATGTTAACAGCCATTGACAGTCATTACCTAGATCTGTTATTTCATTGGAGGTTGCAAAATGGTAATAGTCTTATTTAATTCTATACTTTTTTCATTTATTAGCTGGAGTAAGTTAAAACATTTAAATGTATTTTTTGAAACATGGTGTAGAGCCCCTTTTTTCATTTAAGTAAATATTAAAATGGTAATGAGGCCGGGCATAGTGGCTCATGCCTGTAATCCCAGCACTTTGGGAGGCTAAGGTGAGCAGATCATTTGAGGACAGAAGTTCGAGACCAGCCCAACCAACATGGTGAAACCCTGTCCCTACTAAAAATACAAAAAAATTAGCTAGACGTGGTGGTGCATGCCTGTAGTACCAGCTACTCAGGAGGCTGAGGCAGGAGAATTGCTTGAACCCGGAGGCAGAGGTTGCAGTGAGCTAAGACTGCACCACTGCATTCTGGCCTGGGTGACAGAGAGAAACTCCATCTCAAAAAAATAAAAATAAAAAAATAAAGTGGTAATGAATTAAAATGCAAGTATTGAATCTGAACTGCCTTGTGGTATCTGAATAGGTTCTCCTTTGTATAAATAAAGTTTTTTATAAACTTCTTAAAAATTTTTATGATGTCTGATTTCGCTGTGATTATGATTTCTGTTAAGAAATGCTAACTGGTGTAATTGTAACATAATACTTTTTTTTTAATTTCATATTTTAACAGGAACGAGGGGGAATAATGTCACTCACGGAGGTGTACTGCTTAGTAAACCGAGCTCGAGGAATGGAAGTAAGAATAGAACATTTAAATATTCTTTTAACTAAAGATAGACTTTCTTAATACAAATTCCGAGTACAATTTGAGGAAGGGTTGTGAATATCAAAGCTGTTTTGAGAAGCACTGTGGTACAGTGAAAAGAATACTGCCCTGGGATCTAGGAGGTAGATTCTTTTCTTGGTTTTGATAGTGATTTGCTTAGTGACCTTCAGTAGCTTACTTAACATCTCTGAGACTCAGTTTTCCTTCTTCTTTTTTTATTTTTATTTTTTGCTATTCAAAACTTTTTCTATTTTTCTTTATAATTGACACAATAATTGTACATATTCATAGGGTACTATATGGTGTTTCAGTGCATGTATACATTGCATAATGATAAAATCAGGGTGTATTAGTCCATTTTCACGCAGCTGATAAAGACATAACTGAGACCGGGCAATTTTTAAAGAATTTTTGAAGAAAGACAAAAGAAAGAGGTTTAATTGGACTCACTGTTCCACATGGCTGGGGAGGCCTCAGAATCATGGCGGAAGGCAAGGAGGAGCAAGTCACATCTTATGTGGATGGTGGCAGGCAAAGAGAGCTTGTGCAGGCAACTCCTATTTTTAAAACCATCAGATCTCATGAGACACATTCACTATCACCAGAACAGCACAGGAAGGACCCATCCCCATAATTCAATCATCTCCCACCAGGTCCCTTGAACAATACGTGGGAACTGTGGGAGCTACAAGATGAGATTTGGGTGGGGACACAGAACCAAACCATATCACAGGGCAATGAAGATATTCATCACTTTAAACATTTATCATTTCTTTCTGGTAATAACATTAAAAATCCTCTCTTGTCTGTCATATGCAGCCATAAAAAAGAGTGAGATAATTCTTTTGTGGGAACATGGATGGAGCTGGAGGCTATTATCCTTAGCAAACTAGTGCAGGAACAGAAAGCCAAATACCCATATTCTCACTTATAAGTGGGAGCTAAATGATGAGAGCTTATGAACACAAAGAAGGAACGATAAACACTGGAATGTACTTGAGGGTAGAGACTAGAGGGAGGGAGAGGAGCAAAACAGAAAACTATTGGGTGCTGGGCTTAATATTGATACTTAGGCAATGAAGTAATCTGCATAGCAAACCCTAGTGACATGAGTTTATCTGTGTAGCATACTTTCACATATACCCCCTAATCTAAAATAAACATTTTTCAACAAACAGAGATAGAATCAACTTAAGTGTCCATCAGTGATGAACAGATAAAGAAAATGTCAGATACATACAAATGGAATACAATTCAGTCATAAAAAAAGAATGAAATCACATCCTTTGCAGCAACATGGAGAAATTGGAAGTCCTTAGGTTAAGTGAAGTAAGCCAGACACAGAAAGACAAATATTTCTTGTTCTCACTCATGTGGGAGCTAAAAAAGCTAATCTCACTGAAGTAGAGAATAGATGATAGATATCAGAGACTGGGAAAGGTGTATAGGTAGGAGCGGGGAAGAAGAAAGGTTGGTTAATAGGTACAAACGTACTGTTAGAAGGAATAAATTCTAATGTTCAATAGCAGAGTAGGGAGGCAACAATGTATTGTGTATTTCAAAGTAGCTAGAAGGGAGGACTTGAAATGTTCCTAAAACATAGACATGATAAATACTTCAGGTAATAGGTACCCCCAAATACCCTGACTTGATCATTACACATTTTATGCATGTGTATTAATAAAAATAGCCCCTGTACGCCATAAATATGTAAGATATTATGTATCAATAAAAAGTACTCGGGGCCGGGCATGGTAGTTCACACCTGTAATCCCAGCACTTTGGGAGGCTGAGGCTGGCGGATTGTCTGAGGTCAGGAGTTCGAGACCAGTCTGGCCAACATGGTGAAACCCCATCTCTACTAAAAATACAAAAAAATTATCTGGGCATGGTGGCGTGTGCCTGTACTCCCAGCTACTCAGGAGGCTGAAGCAGGAGAATTGCTTAAACCAGGGAGGTAGAGGTTACAGTGAGTCGAGATTGTGCCATTGCACTCTAGCCTGGGGGACAGAGCAAAACTCCATCTCAAAAAAAAAAAAAGTACTCAGAAACAGAAAAAAAAGGACTACCCTGCATTGTCATTATCTAGTCACTCTGTGTAATATAGCAGCAGAATTCATGCTTCCTGTCTAACTGTAACTTTGTATCTGTTGACCGACCTCTCTCCATCCCCCGCTCCCACCTACCCTCCCCAGCCTCTGGTAGCCACTCTTCTACTCTCTGCTTCTATGAGATCAACTTTTTAAAGATTCTACATGTAAGTGAGATCAAGTGGTGGTGTCTTGCTATGTCTGGCTTATTTCACTTAACATAATATCCTCTGGGTTCATCCATGTTGCTGCAAATGAAAGGATTTTATTCTGTTTTGTGCTGAATAGTATTTCACTGTATATATGTACCACATTTTTTTTTTTTTACCTTTAAAATTTTTGTTTTGTTTTGTATTTTTGAGACAGAGTATCACTCTGTAGAGTGCAGTGGCACAACCTCGGCTCACTGAAATCTCTGCCTCCCGGCTTCAAACAACTCTTGTGCTTCAGCTTCTCAAGTTGCTGGGATTACAGCCGTGTGCCACCACATCAGGAGAATTTTCATACTTTTAGTAGAATCGGGGTTTCCCCATGTTGGCCAAACTAGTCTTGAACTCCTGACCTCAGGTGATCTACCCACCTCGGCCTTCCAAACAAAGTGCTGGGATTACAGGCATGAGCCGCCATGCCCGGCCCCCACATTTTTATTTTTTCTTTTTTATGGATACATAATAGTTGTACATATTTATGGGGTACATGTGAAATTTTGATACAAGCATATGTGTAATGACCAAATCAGAGAAATTAGGGATCTGTCACCTCCAGTATTTATTATTTCTTTGTGTTAGGAACATTCCAATTCCACTTTTGGAGTTACTTTGAAATATACAAAAAAAAAAGAAAAAGAAATATACAATAGGGCTGGGCGCGGTGGCTCACGCCTTAAACTAGGGAGGTGGAGATTGCAGTGAGCCGAGATCACGCCACTGCACTCCAGCCTGGGCGACAGAGCGAGACTGCGTCTCAAAAAATAAATTAATTAAAAAAAAAAGAAATACAATAGATTATTGTTAACTATAGTTGCCCTATTGTACTACTGGATGCTATTGTCTTATTCCCCCTTTTTTTTTTTGAGACGGAGGCTTACTCTTGTCACCCAGCCTGGAGTGCAGTGGCACAACCTCAGCTCACTGCAACCTCCACCTCCCTGGTTCAAGCAATCCTCCTGCCTCAGTGTCCCAAGTAACTCGGAATTACAGGCGACCGCCACCACGCCTGGCTAATTTTTGTATTTTTAGTAGAGACGGGGTTTCTCCATGTTGGCCAGGCTGGTCTCAAACTCCTGACCCCAGGTGATCTACCCGCCTTGGCCTCCCAAAGTGCTGGGATTACAGGCGTGGGCCACTGTGTCTGGCCTCTTATTCCTTCTAATTGTATTTTTGTACCCATTAAACCAACCTTCTTTATCCCTCCTTCCCCACTACTCTTCCCACCCTCTAATGGCCATTTTCCTACTCTCTATCTGCATGAAATCAGTTTTTTTAACTCCCACATATGAGTGAGAACATGTGATATTTGTCTTTCTGTGCTAACTTACTTCACTAAACAATGTCTTCCAGTTCCATCTATGTTGTTGCAAATGATGTTGACTGTTGTGAAGAGTGCTGCGATAAACATAGGAGTACAGATTTCTCTTTGATATACTCCTTTCCTTTCTTTTGGATATATACCCAGCAGTGGGATTGCTGGATCATGTGATAGTTCTATTTCCAGTTTTTTGAGAAATCGCCATAGTGTTTTTCATAGTGACTGTACTAATTTACCTTCCCACCAACAATCTGTAAGAGTTCCCCTTTCTCCACATCCTTGCCAGCATTTAGGGAGCCAGTTTTCTTACCTTTAATATAAGGGTTTGGACTGAATGAAACTGTTCAGCTCTAATATTTTCTGTTTGTATTGTGATAAATAAAGTTGTTCAGGAAGCCCTTCCTCTACAATAGTTAACTCTTTTGAATCAACTCAGTTGGAACAAGTTGCCTTGTAGATAATGCAGAGGGAAAGCTGCCCTGCCCCTTTGGCTGGGTATCAGCAGTGACTATTCTTCAGCTGTCCTTGCTCCTTCACATCCAGATGTCCTTGGCCTCCAAGGTTCTGTCTAGGTATTCTTTGTGCCCCGACAGTCACCTCCATGCAAATGGCTCACCCAGTCCCATGAGTTAAGCCCCTGCTCTGTGTTTTTATCTGAATACTGATCATAGCTACCATTAGTGAGTACTTACCATCCACTGGACGCTCTGCACGTGTTACCTCATTTATCCTCCCAATAACTCAAGTGACGTGGCTACTTTTACCGTAGGGGATAATTTGGAGAATAGGAAATTGAAACTTAGAAAGATGAAATAACTTGAGCAAGGCCACAGGCAGAGACAGTGGTTTGACAGGTATTTGGTTCTAGGCTGGACTGGCTCTGGGGCCATCCTGTGGGACTGAAAGCTGTGCTTGTCATCACCACACTATGCTGATTTGTTAAGGCTGCACTGTCCAAAAGGATAGCCACATCATGTGCTGACTGGGGACTTGAAATGTAGTTAATCCAAATCAAGATAATGCTGCAAGTGTAAAAATGCACCAGATTTAGAAGGCTTCGTACAAAATAAGGAAATGTTAAATATCTCATTAATAATTTTTTGTATTGATTATATGTTGAATTGGTTCTATGTTCAATCTATTGGACTACATAAAATATATGCATTAAAATTAATTTCATGTGTTTCTTTTTACTCTTTTTTTTTTTTAAGATGGAGTCTTGCTCTGTCGCCCAGGTTAGAATGCATGGTGCGATCTCGGCTCACTGCAAACTCCACCTCCTGGTTTCAAGCAATTCACCTGCCTTAGCCTCTCAAGTAGCTGGGATTACAGGCACCCGCCACCGCGCCTGGCTAATTTTTGTATTTTTAGTAGAGACAGGGTTTCACCATGTTGGCCAGGCTGGTCTCGAATTCCTGACCTTGTGATCCACCCGCCTCAGCCTCCCAAAGTGCTGGGATTACAGGTGTGAGCCACCGCACCTGGCCTCTTTTTACTTTTTTAATGTGGCTGCTATAAAATTTACAGTGACATATGTGGCATGCATATTTTATTGGGTAGCACAGGTTTAATGAATAGAAGTCTTTGGTTCCTTTGTCAGTCTTTTTTGCTTTGTAGTGATTAAATCACCTAAAATTTTTGATAAATGGTAATTTTAAAATTTACTCTTCTGTTTTAGTGATCATTACCATTGTATAGCATTACTGGATTTTTTTTTCCCTATTAGTTGCTCTCACCAGAAGATTTAGTGAATGCGTGCAAGATGCTGGAAGCACTGAAATTACCTCTCAGGTAAAGGAACCTCTGCAGGAAGTTTGCCGCCTGCAGCCATGATTCTGCATGGGGTAGATGGGAAGGCCCAGCGAAGTTTGCCGTCCCTAGTGTCAAGCCAGATTATTGCTTTCTTGAAATTATATTATTTCCTCTTTATTAGGGCTGGGCATGTCCTAACAGGGCTAGGAGTCAGACTCTTTTGGATTTGGGGGAATGAGATAAGAATGTAGGTTCTTCCCATGAGGTCAGAATAAGTAGCCCCTCTTCCCTTAGACATTTTGTGTTAGTCTCTGGAGATGTTCAGGTGTGAATATTCTTTTCCTTAGGTTTAAAAAAGTACCCAGGTGGCCGGGTGTGGTGGCTCACACCTGTAATCCCAGCACTTTGGGAGGCCGAGGCGGGCAGATCACCTGAGGTCAGGAGTTCGAGACCAACCTGACCAACATGGAGAAATCCCGTTTTTCCTAAAAATACAAAATTAGCTGGGCATGGTGGCGCATGTCTGTAATCCCAGCTACTTGGGAGGCTGAGGCAGGAGAATCGCTTGAACCCAGGAGGCAGAGGTTGCGGTGAGCCAAGATCATGCCATTTGCACTCCAGCCTGGGTAACAAGAGCGAAACTCCATCTAAAAAAAAAGCTAGGCATTTTCTTTAGCATGTAGACTGTAGTTCATAATTTGATTATCTGTGTATTCATGAGCTGTTTAGGTATGCCATTGTCCCTTGTGTTCAATATGTTTTAAATGTTGTTTTGTTTAATACTGCCCTCAGACCTGGGCATAAAAGAAGATATAAAAGATGTGCTGCTTTTCAGCAGTTGGATATCCTAGATAATTCCTGGCTTTGTTCTCGCACCTGTGGTTTTCAGGCTCCGTGTGTTTGACAGTGGCGTCATGGTAATTGAGCTTCAATCTCACAAGGAAGAGGAAATGGTGGCCTCGGCCCTGGAGACAGTATGTGAAGCCGATTTTCTCCAGTCTTTAGAGCTTGCTACGAAGACCCGAAGGCTTAGCAACTCAAAAAACAGGATTTCCTTTTGAATTTAACTTTACCGAAAAGTAACATTCACACACCCAAATAAAAACGGTTTATCACTAACAATGAATCAGTATTAACCAAAGTCATACGTTAAGAGCTTTTTGAAACTTCTTGACACTCTTAACATCTTACATGTAAGGAGAATTAGAATTTAGTGAGGTGCTTTCTTTTCTATTAAAACTCAGTGTTGAGAACAGGTTTTTAATTTTATCAGATGTTACAACACAAACTTTTTCTTCCAGTAACACCTACATAAGCAGCTTGCTAAAACACCACAAGTTTTGTGAAAATAATTGCTTCAAAAATATAAAAAGCGACTGTAGTTTAGATGGATTTTACTGGCCAAATTGCCAATATTACTCATTAGGATACTTGAAATAGTACTGTCTTCATAGCTTCTATGGTGAGCCTATATAATTTGAATAACTTCTATTTATTATCCTTCTCATTTTCAACTAGATGAAAACCCCAAGACTACAGATATTTCTACCACATATTTTAAACTAAACCTATGTGTAAAGTCCCTTCGCTGGAGCATTAATATGTACTCAGAATTTGTTACATATTCTTTTTCAGAGTATCATAATTCTTTTTAGGCTTTAGTACAGTGACTTTGTTACATTATGGAGAGCTTGATCTTGATATTTGAGCCTCCAGTATGTCCCTTCTGGGTCCTTCAACTTTTGTAGGATTAAACATTAGTTAAGATTTAGTTATAGTGTGAATGTTCTTTGAATTTTAGTAGGACATTCAGTAAATTATTTCTTGCATATACATTCTGCCTACCATTAGAACCCAGAGTGTGTTTAAATTAGTGTCCTAAATTAATTACTTTTTTTTTCTGCTGTGTGTTTCTATTAGGTTTCAGAAAAGGGATCCCTAACATCGGAAGAGTTTGCTAAGCTTGTGGGAATGTCTGTCCTCCTAGCCAAAGAAAGGTAAGTAAGGTTCTTACCTTTCATTACCATGTATGTTTGTGTTTCTGCATGGACAGATAATTGTGTGGGTTTTTTTGTTTTCTTTTTTTTTAGGTTGCTGCTTGCAGAGAAGATGGGCCATCTTTGCCGTGATGACTCAGTGGAAGGCCTGCGTTTTTACCCAAATTTATTTATGACACAGAGCTAAGGGTTTTGTATTTAAAATCCTTTTTGTCCATATGCTTGCGTCATGTAGAGGTTGTATGACATTGAGCTAAGAGATAAACCCGATCAACTGAGAATTTATTAGAACTTCACAGTGCAATGTAAATCTCTTTTAATTTCTCACTAAATATGGTCCAGGAAATTTATTTAGGATATGCATAGGAAAATTCAGAAAAGTGAATGCCAATATGAATTTAAAATCATGCTGTAGTTGTGCAGAACCCTCAGAGTTTAACTTGAAATATAGTGGATTTTAACTTGATCCTCAAATCTAATCATTTTATAAAGAAGGGAATTTAGTTTTGCAGAGAATAAAAAGAGAAGTTGCATGTTCAGACAGGTTAGATTATTTTGATGTGACTGAAATTCACTGACTACACATGACAATGTTGGGACAAAATATACTGCAGCTTGCTATATGAGGCTCCTCCCAGGGGCTTTTAGAAGCAGTCATAGGCATGTCTTCAACATACCAAATAAAATACCTTTAAAAATGAAATAATTTTATTTGACACATATATTTATATATATTCTATCTAGTTTCTCTTTGTTTTTTTAAGTGATGATTTCATGACTGGCATTTAAAGAATGCAACTGTGTCATTTTGTTTCCAAATGCTGTGGATTTTGAAACTGAACTAGAGAGCTGTATAGACATGCCCAGAGTTATGATTACAAATTTAGGAGGTAGACAGCTCAGGAATTCCCTGGGATTGTTGTGCTGGTGGAAAGGCAGAGGGAGCCTTTAAATGGCTTCACAGGAACCTTAGTGTTCTTCTACCTCAAAGCCACAGACAGGAGATCGAAAGTGGAAAAGTAATGTCTCCTTTTCTTTTCCATAAGGAGTTTCCACACTGAACTATAAAAAGTCTATCATATTCCAGCAATATTTTTTCTTTGTTCTTTATACTATAAATTGTGAGGAAAAACTACTTCGGTAAGAAGTGTTACTGAGATAACAACAACTGGCTAATACTGCATGTAGATTGCTTAAGTTTTAAAGTGACTGCCTGACTTCACATGTTACTGCTCTACAGCCTCCAGTATGTTGGCATTATCTCAAACTCAGGGACCCCACAGGACAGGGGACGCCCTTTCTGAAACTGAGTTGGAAGTGAAAGGGTGGTGATGGTTTTGGCCAAGCCTGCGGGAGGGAAAGTATTGTATTGGGAGCACCCTTGGAACCAGGAAGAGGGATACCCAGGTTCACACTCTGGAACCCCTAAGACATTGTCAGTGGGTAAGGTGGAGGGCCACTGCCAGAGGCTGCTGCAGTGCCCTCTGGGAAGTGCCAGGGACCCTCCGCTGCAGACCCAGGGGATCCCAATCCCTTATCCCTGTCTGAAAAGTGGCTATTGCTGTTTCGTGTCCTCCAGTGTCACAGGAAGGCTGTGCCTGAGACATCCCACTTTAGTTTTTGTTTTCCAAACCTGTCACTGACTCTTCATTGTGGTGTCGGATCCTCTGGTTCCCCCATTGTTCAGCCTCAGGTTTATTTTGAGGGTAACTCAGTGTCTCACTGCCCAAGTCTTTTAGGGGTTAGTTGGACCATTGCGTAAGCTTGTTTATATGTCTCACCTCTTTCTGGGTGGTACTTACTGTCTCACACTGCTCTGGCAAACTTGTACACACAAACACACACACACTCTCTCTCACCTGGCTAAGGCTTTTAAAATCATAAAGATAAATAATCTGTTTCACCAGTTGGAGTGAGTTGCAAGGAGGATTGCTGGAGCTACTCGATCTAGCGCTAATGTTTTGGATTCATTACTGCAAACCTACATAATTTAACATATTTATTTACTTTAGTGTGACAACTGATGAAAAGAAATGGAGCAATCCAAATTGTATAAAATGACTTAAGAAGGAAGAAAAGTGACATATAAATATATTTTGCAAATGCCACATTAATTTAAAAATGAGTATGATTGATTTTATTATTTTTAAAGTGGGCATTCGTCACTGTTTCGAGACCTTTGTATGTATTTGTGTATTTTTATCTTTTTTTTCGGGCCATTATTATAAGGTGTGATTTTGGTCCTCTAATGTACAAGTTATGTTTAAATACAACCAATCAGGCCCTAAGTGCAAAAAAGTTCTGTCTTGGTGCTTATCACTGGCATAATTATTATTTTTTTGTTTTCCTAACTTTGCTCTTAGGAGCATGAACCTCTTTGTAGCTTTATGGTAATGCAATATTTCCAGTCATTTACTGTCAAAAAAATTTTTTACATTGTGTTAGTGAAGATTGTGTTTTCAAGGTTAAATGATTGGTATTAATGTATATAGAGTAAAATTATTACAAAATTTAAAAACGATTTTTCTTGGCATTCTTTTTAAATACTCTGAAAAATATATGCAAATGATAAGCCTTTAATCATACTAAAGCCAGTTATGTTAAGAATTTTTCCTTTGGATTTTATAATTAAGAGTTGCTTATAAATATTTATGACATTGAGCTGTTACTGTTTTCGTTGTCTAAAAAGAATGGGACATGTCATGAACTGGTTTGGTTTTTTAAAAAATTCTTGATGTGAATTCCACTGTTGCCTGACTATGTATATTCAGATGAATGTACTCTTTCTTGTTCCTTGTTACCAGATTAATCTGAGAGAATGTGGATTCATCTTGTCATCATTCTCATGCTCAAATACTTAAAATGGTTCTTTTGCCCAAAAGTCTCAGAGTCTTCATTTTGGTACAGTGGAGTCACAACTTGGAAGGTGGTTAGGTTTTAAAGACCGTGCCTAAGGACAAAATTGAGCATGCTCAGAATGGTCCTTGAAAATCTCCTAAATTACCAATGAAGTTCTCTTTGTAGTCTTAAAGTTTAAATTCCTGTGGAGTGATACATAGGTACGAATATATTATGCTTATATTAAGTACAAAAATACAAACTGCATATCAAGAGTAGATTCTTATAGCATTAATAATTTACATGCATGTGTCTTTTTCCAGTAGGTATGGTTGAATTTATGTAAATTTATTGCTAATCCCATCCCTTACAATCTAGAGTATAAGCTGCACAAGGGCAGAGGTTTTTGTCTGGTTTGTTCATGGATGTATCTTAAGAGCCGAGAACAGGGCCTGGACACAATAAGCATTCAATAAATATTTACTGAATGAATGAACGCCGACCTATATTCCTATTTATAATTTGGCTCCACTTTATCCTACTTTAGCTCCCATTCAATTCAATGAAAAATAGATTTTTTTGAACATATAGCAATTTTTTGTGAGCAATTTTTTTGGGCACTGGTAGTGGGAGGGGATAAAAAGATGAATAAGATACAGCTCTGTCCTTAAGAAAAGGGAGACCTAGTTGGGGAAACAGACATGTAAGTGACTTTCACTGAAGAGAGAATGAAGTAAGTACCATGTAAGGGGCATATGTACCATGCTGGGGAAGACAGAAGAAGGAGCCCTTAGTCCTGGTGGAGGGCTTTGTAAGACTTTGTGGGAAAGGAAGAACCTGGTAAACTAGGCTCACAAAGACCAAGAGATTGTCAGTAAGTGGAAGGTGTTGGGAAAAGGGAACAGCAGAGGTGTGCCCCTTCCTGCTCCTGGATATTTCCCTTGTCTGTCCAAACCTCCCTTCTTTACTTCTTCCCACTCACCTCCCCTCTCCCATGCCCACCCCCACCAATCTAAATTATACTTTGCTCGATCCTGCCTGCTCCAGAAATGTTTCCAATAGACAGCTCTATTATTTCTAAACTGTATAAGAGCTATTGTCTTTTCCATATGCTTAACTATATTTTGTCTTGTTCTCTTAAATGTTGTCTTGATACCATAAGAAAACAGAGAAACTAGGTTTACGTTCAAAGACTGTCATGTAACATTTCTTTTGAATTCTCACTGACCTAGGTCAGTGACTGTACATGGTAGATTCCTAGTAAAGTATTAACTGAATTGGGTGATCTTTGAATTATAGTACTGAGTCATGCATGAGTTGCCTAGCAAACCAACTCTGTCTTTTACCCTCTTCCCGAGAGGTTTCTCAACCAGACTTGTCAAGGCTTAGCCTGTCTGAGTGAGATCTGCTCTGTCTTACTCAAATATGGCATGGGCCATGTGCATGATGTGGAAAGCACTCTAGAGTAGTTGTTATATACACAGGTAAGTTCTTGTTATTACAGTGTGGAAATTGGGCCATTCATCTTCTTCCTTGTGTCCTGATACGAAATCATGAGTCAGTTATAGCTTTCATCTCAGAGCATTACCCAGAGAAAAAAAGCTCTCTCCATTTATATAAACGGAGTTATTGAGATAGTGTATAAATTTTATACAATTTGCACACGATTACTAGATCAGTCGCTAACCCAGAAAGAGAATTGAAGGTATTTTGAGAGCCAGATCAGTTATAGTTCAATACTGACCATACCACTGTTCGTTTGAAAGCTTTTTTTCCTTTCATTTTTATATTGCCTTCTTTTAGAAAACGTTAAACTATATCTTAACTGTCCAATAAAGACAGCAGTACAGTTTGGCAAGAATTCTAATGGAGACAAAATTGACCAGTCAGTTCAATAAAGCTGTTATTTAAAATATGACCAAGCATATCACTTGTACCTGAATTTCCACCCTTAAAGAGTAGGTTTTTGGGGAAAAAGTATGTGCCTGAAAGATTAATGCAGAGAAAGTTGCCTCTGATATGTTTCACTTAATCACTATAATATTTCACAATAACTATTATATGCCTTCTACAGTGAAGGGAAGGAACGATTAAGAAATCTACCCAGGTTTGCAGTGTCAAGGCTGGAATTTAATCTAGGCTTTATCTAAAAGTGTATCTTTTTACTTGTATACAGTGTAAGTAGGAGGTCCAACTTCATTCTTTTGCATGTGGCTATTTGGTTATGCCAGCACCATTAGTTGACCATTAAATGGTCTTGGCACCCTTGTCAAAAAACAATTGACCATATGCTTGCATATGGGGTTTTTTGTTTTTTTAAAAATTCAAGGCTGGGCACGGTGGCTCACGCCTGTAATCCCAGCACTTTGGGAGGCCGAGACGGGCGGATCACAAGGTCAGGAGATCGAGACCATCCTGGCTAACACGGTGAAACCTCGTCTCTACTAAAAATACAAAAAATTAGCCGGGCGCGGTGGCGGGCGCCTGTAGTCCCAGCTACTCAGGAGGCTGAGGCAGGAGAATGGCATGATCCCGGGAGGCGGAGCTTGCAGTGAGCCGAGATCGGGCCACTGCACTCCAGCCAGGGGGACAGAGCAAGACTCCGTCTCAAAAAAAAAAAAAAAAAAAGACTCAATTGACCATAGATGAGTTTCTGAACTTGCAATTCTAGCTATATATCTATCTTTTTGCTAATATCACACTGTCTTGATTACTACTGCTTTGTAGTAAGTTCTTTTTTTTTTTTTTCTTTTTTTTTAAGACCATCTCTCACTCTGTCACACAGGTTGGAGTGCAGTAGCACATTCTCGGCTCACTGCAGCCTCTGCCTCCTGGGTTCAAGCAATTCTTCTGCCTCAGCCTCCTGAGTAGCTGGGATTACAGGTGTGTGCCAACATCCCCAGCTAGTTGTTGTTGTTTTTTTTTTTTTTAGTAGAGATGGATTTTTGCTGTTGGTCAGGCTGGTCTCAAACTCCTGACCTCAAGTGATCCGCCCGCCTTGGCCTCCCGAAGTGCTGGGATTACAGGCATGAACCAGCACACCCAGCCTGTAGTAAATTCTGAAATTGGAAAATGTGAGTCCTCCAAATATGCTCTTCATTTTCAAGATTGTTTTATCCTGTTCTGGGTTCCTTATACCCCCATATAATTTTTTTTTTTTTTTTTTTTTTGAGACGGTCTGGTTCTATTGCCCAGGCTGGAGCACAGTGGCACAATCTCGACTCACTGCAACCTCTACCTTCTGGGCTCAAACAATCCTCTCACCTCAGCTTCCTGATGGTTGGAACTACAGGTGCACACCACCACACCAGTTAATTTTTGTACTTTTATAACTCCAATGCCTGCTCTTTCCACTGAGCTTTTGCTTTTAAAACTGAAATGCCAGGGGCTGGGTGGTATGTATTTGAAAAATAATCCTAGTGTAAATTGGTGAATGGAGATTAGACTAGATAATTCTACTGGCAGTGAAATTGGATGGTCACCTTAAAGTCTTCTTTGAAACTTTGGATGGATTTAATTAGTATTGCTAGAAGTAACTATTTGACAAGATTGGTTGGTCTCACTCTGTCACATAGGCTGTAGTACAGTGGTGTGATCACTGTTCTCTGTAGCCCCAACCGCGGGCTCAAGTAATTCTCCCATCTCAGCCTCCAGAGTAGCTGGGACAACAGGTACATGCCACCACACCTAGCTAATTTCTTATTTTATTTTTTGAGATGGGGTCTCACCCAGCCTGTGCAGTGGCATCATCTTGGCTCACTGAAGCCTCCACCTGGGTTCAAGTGATCCTACTGCCTAAGCCTCCCAAGTAATTGGGACCACAGGCATATGCCATCACAGCCAGCTAGTATATTCTATTTTTGGTAGAGACGGGGTTTTGCCATGATGCCCAGGCTGGTCTTGAACTCTTGAGCTCAAGCAATCCACCCGTCTTGGCCTCCCAAATAATTTCTTATTTATTGTGGCGATGGAGCCTCACCATTTTGCCCAGGCTGGTCTAAAACTACTGGACTCATGCAATCCTCCTGCCTTGGCTTCCCAAATTGTTGAGATTACAGGCATGAGCCACTGCACCTGGCTGACAAGACAAGTTCTTAGAAAATTTTATACCTCTGGTAACATAGGTAAATACTTGTGCTACCTTTTAAAAAAATGAAGTGATAGAGTCAAAGATCTGCAAATCACATACTTTAAAATATTTTTTAAATGAGGTAAAGTTTACAAACTGCATTGCACAGATCTTCAGTCAAACGAGTTTTAACAAATGCTTAGCAAATCCATGTAACTCACACTCCAAACAATAGAACATATCTGTCGCCCCCTAAAAGTTCCCTCGTGCCTCTTTCCAGTCATCCGCTCTCCAGAGGCCACCACTGTGCTTTGATTTCCATTACTGGATATTAGTTTTGCTGTCAAATGGTATATTCTGCATAAAAGAAAAGCAAGTCGTAAGCCATACTGCTCATTCACTCAATTTAACAAGCACAGCTGTTAAGGTGGAATCTATCCTCTCATATTTTCCAAAAAACTTAAAATTTTTTATTAAATTTTAGTTTTAGATTTGGGGGTGCATATGCAGGTTTGTTACAAGGATAATTGCATGTTGCTGAGGTTTGGGCTTCTATTGATCCTGTCACCTAGATAATGAACGTAGTACCCAAGAGGATGTTTTTCAGCACTTGCCCCTTTCCCTCCCTCCCTTGACTTGGAGTCTCCAGTGTCTGTTGTTGCCATCTTTATGTCTATGAGTACCCATTGTTTAAGCTCCCACTTATAAGTGAGAACATACGGTTTTTGGCTTTCTGTTCCACTTAGGATACTGTCCTCCAACTGCATCCATGTTGCTAAACATGACGTGATTTTGTTCTTTTTTTATGGCTGCTTAGTATTACGTGGTGTGTATATACCACATTTTCTTTACTCAGTCCACTGTTGATGGGCACCTAGGTTGATTCCATGTCTTTGCTATTGTGAATAGTACTGTGATAAACATAGGAGTGCAGGTGTCTTTTTGGCAGAATGGTTTATTTTCCTTTGGGGATACACCCAGTAATGGGATTGCTGGGTCAAGTGATAGTTCTGTTTTTAGTTCAGAAATCTCCAAACTGCTTTCCACAGTGGCTGAACTAATTCACATTCCCATAAAAAGAACTTTTAACACTTGCAGAGTAGGGGTTTAAAAATGTTTAGTTATTTTTAATAACCAATTCTGACCCCAGGGAAAGAAAATGGAGATGCACTTTACCTGAACTATGTTCTTTTGAAACTCTTCAATGACATTTGGGAAAGCAAGTTTACAGCCCACATGCTGTGCCACTTCAAGGACTTAATTTTTGTGGTCTCCCTGAAGAAAATGACACTAGGGTAGAAGTGATTGAATGTGAAGTGTCAGGAGATTGCTGGCTCGTCCTTAGTTAAACCCCTGATCCGGCTGTGTGCTGTGGACGGGGGTGTGTGTTGAGGGGACCTGCGTCTGCCGGGGCCGCACCCCCTGCCGCAGGACCTTGGCTGGCCGCGCGTTTCCTGCCTGTTTCCTGTCCAGCAGCTGGCGAGCTGGGGGCGGGCAGGAAAGGATGCGCTGCCCAGAAGGGGCGGGAGCCGACCGCGCCCGGTCCCGGGTGTCCCCCGCCCTCCCGGTGCCCGCCCTTCCCACGCCGTCGGGGGCGGCCCAGGGCGGGGCTGTAGGAGCCGAACGCCGCGGGGTCAGGGCGCGCAGTCTGGGACGCGGGATGCTCGGCGCGCTGCCTCGCGGCCCCTGAGGCCTCCCGTCCGCCTCGCCACTCGCCCGGCCGGCCTGGGGTCGCTGCCCGTCGGTCTGGAAAGGTAAGAAGCGCCCTCCGCATCCCGGCGTCCGCGCCCCAGCGGGCGCTCCTGTGCCGCGAGACCCTCGGAGGCTCCGCTGGGGTCAGGAAATGCCCCCGGACCCTGCCACTTCCCAGCAGCCTGAAGGCGCAGGTGGACGCTGGCGGCCCCTCCACACCCCCGCCTCGGCTCCAGGGGACGCTTTTAAGGAGTATTGGTCTCCACACCTTGGAGTCCCGAATTTAACTGAACCTGGCTCTGCCCTGGCTCCGACGTTGCCGGGTGACTGAGACTGGCCACAGAACCTTGAAAAATCGCGTCTTGAGCTACTGTTTCTTTCCAAAAAGAAATCCTTTCTGAGATACAAAAAGTATGAGATACAAGGATTAAATTAAATTAAAGACCGTCCTCATTAAGGAGGGCTTTCAGCTGACGACACGAGGGGTAGATTTCCAAGCGTGAACTAGGCTTGCGGGCATTTGGGAAGCTGAGTAGATGAGGCGAGCCACGGCGTCCCAGGAACGCTGCACCCAACCCGTGGGACCAGGGCAGAGCAGACTCGAATGAACATATAAATGAAGCCTGTTTACACGAGCTGCTTTGGAACTACAGATTTCCTCCCAATAAATACTATTCCTATATATACACAGGAACATGTGCATGTTGGTCAGAAGGGACAAAATAACTTTTCTTCGTTTTCCCTTTTATTTTTTCACGAATCATTGGTCCCATGGACATTACTGTGATTCCTTTTCTTTTCCTGCAGCTATGAAGGGAGATTTAGAAGCATTTGTCCTAGCTGGTTTCAGCAAAAACATGGGGTCTGAGATTGGGTGATGCTGTTAGCCGTTGAGAATATTCACAACTTCTCCCCACCTTCTCAGCTGATGCATTTAGAATTTGTCTATAAAGTTTACGTACAAGAATGCTATGTAGAAGTATTTTCAAATGTGTATAAAATATACCTAAGTTCTTAATTTCCTAGAACAATTCTGAAGCCAAACATTATAAGAAGTCAGTCGGGTATCTGGAACAACATGTTGAAAGAAAATAAGCAAGCAGGGTAGAAAGAAATTAAAGAGACATATTATGACTAATGTTATGATCATATTCCATATTATGATTGACAAGTAGGCTGGTCTGTTTTATAAGTCTTTTTCCATTCAGCTCTAAATATAGATTATCTCACCATTCTATGTTTTAGGGATCATTTTCATAAGAAAGAAAATGTGTTATCACAAAATCAGTTATGATTTGGGGCTTCAAAAATAAAAAGGTTATTGTGGTGGAAGCAAACAAATCTGAGAGAAGCCAGTTCAACTTTTGGGAGCTTGCTTCTCCTTGGTTTGGTTACCAGGTCTCAGTGACTTAAAAGAAGCATTGTAATTGTCTTTAAGTGCTCACACTTGCCCAAGTGATATGATGCTTTCTGCAAGGATCTTACTGGCTGACTTTGGCCAGGTTTCCCAGTCCATGTTCAAGGAAAGAATTGGGTCAAATCTGTGGCTAATTCCACCCAAAACAATTTTCTTCTTCTTCCCTTTTCTTTTTGTTTTGGGGGGTAGGGGTGGCGGGGAAGAGGAGGGAGCCCTAATCGTCTGCATAGTTACACTTCAAATCTCTGCTTCCCTTTCAGGAAGTACAGTATTTCCTTTGTTCAGCCCACTGTTAATGGAAGAAAGCTAATAGGACACACCAGTTTCCCTTCCATTGAATTTTGGCTTATTTCAATCAGTCTTCTTAATTCCACTAATTTGTGCTCTTATCTGAAGAGATGTAACATGTATTTGGAATATAATATACTTGCTTCTTAAAAGGATTAACTGTGGGCTGGGTGTGGTGGCTCACGCCTGTAATCCTAGCACTTTGGGAGGCCATGGTGGGGAGATCATGAGGTCAGACATTTGAGACCAGCCTGGCCAACATGGTGAAACCCTGTTTCTACTAAAAATACAAAAATTAGCCAAGAGTGTGGTGCACACCTATAATCCCAGCTTCTCAGGAGGCTGAGGTGGGACAATCACTTGAACCTGGGAGGCAGAGGTTGCAGTGAGCTAAGATCATGCCACTGTACTCCAGGCTGGGTGACAGAGCAAGACTCTGTCTAAAAAAAAAAGATTAACTGTGAATAATGGGGGGGACCATCAACATTAAGAAAATATATATTTGGTTGTATTTAATATTAATACATAGTTTGTTAGACTTTAGTATGAAAGAACTATCTTAAATGCCCAGTATCTTATTCTATAGTTGAATAGTCTATATAAAATAAGTGCCTTTTCCAGCCGGGCGCGGTGGCTCACGCCTGTAATCCCAGCACTTTGGGAGGCTGAGGCGGGCGGATCACGAAGTCAGGAAATCGAGACCATCCTGGCTAACACGATGAAACACCGTCTCTACTAAAAATACAAAAAATTAGGTGGGTGTGGTGTGGGCGCCTGTAGTCCCAGTTGCCTGGGAGGCTGAGGCAGGAGGATGGCGTAAACCCGGGAAGTGGAGCTTGCAGTGAGCCGAGATCTTGCCACTGCACTCCAGCCTGGGTGACAGAGCGAGACTCCATCTCTAAATAAATTAATTAATTAAATAAAATAAGTGCCTCTTCCAACAAATAGCTGTGAACCACAGGCCAGCAAGGTCTTCCCTGCCCTCTTAGGTAGACTGGGAAGATTGCTGTGTGAACCACCAATCTCATGATGCATACCAGCAGCAACAAGTATTTCAGGACTGATGAAGATGATTGTTATTTATCTGTTTTCTCCTTAGGCTGCCCTAAACAAGGGAAGTCAGGGCCACATGGAGTTCACATTTAATTGTAGTATTCTGGAGTATCTTTTTTTAAAAAAGCTTTGATCGCTTGGATGTAGCTCCTAGGAATCGATAAATGAAGCAATCCTGGTAACACACCAATTGTGCAAGGAAGTGTTAGCCCATTTGTGGACGCCAGGCAGGGAGCATTTGAGTATATATAGCACAATGCTAAATTAAAGTTTAGCAGAAATTTAGTAAATTTATCAGTGTGAAATGCCAAGCAGATAAATAATGTGAAAATGTATCCAAATTGGTTATTAACTTTGATAAAATTAAGCAAATAACAATAAACTCTCCACTTAAGGATGTGCTGTAAAGAGAAGAGACTTTGGTGTTGTGCAAAGATAATCTTAGTGGGTGCTGGGCATACCTGCATATTCTTGACCTGTGAGTTATAATGGAATGAAAGGGGCTTGTATAATTATAAGTCATTGCCCCAGGGAAAATTAATGTCCTCTCTAGTTTCCTTTCAATATCACTTAGGAAGTTTGAGTTTTAGAATGGTTTTGTCATTTCATGATTACTATTTTATCAATCACATTGAATGGAGCCATCATTTTTTGAGGTTCTAATTTCAGGTGTTTTTGAGGAAAAAAATCACAATCTGTACGTGAGAAAGGACATGAGGAGACTAAAGACCTGGGATTTTGCCGATCAGAATGAAACCAATGTTGAAAGACTTTTCAAATCTATTGTTGGTGGTGCTCTGTGACTATGGTGAGTATTGTGAGTATACTTAATGCTATTGGTAGGAATAAAACATAAATATGACATTTGTATATGCATTGATGTTGATGACTCTTCATGAAGGAGGCAGGGTAGGGTCTATAGTGCAGTGCTTTCTAAACCGTGACCCTTGCAACCCTGGGTCCCATCATGCTTCAGTGATTCTGCATGATTGATTCATATTTCACTTTATATTTTTAACTCTTTAAAAAAATAATAAAAAAACCAACTCTCTCAAATTTTAAAAAATTGGAGGCAAGCATGTTACCTTGAGTTCTCTTTGATTTCCCTGTAATTCAGTGTGATAAATCACTTCATACACACATGCAATGATGTTGTGTATATTAGGGTTCTACATAAGATTTCACTTGACAGAGTTTTGGTGCTAACGTGTATTTGGAACCAATCTGAATTTCAATCCTTGAAAGTTGCGTGCTCTTAGAAAAGTTTCTTCATCTCTTTCAATCTCAGCAATAATATTGACTTCACAGGGTTGTTATGATAATATCAAGAATGCGAAACACCCTGAATGAGCAGATAGTAGGTACTTAAAGTCTGTTCTCTTCATTCGTTTCAACAAAAAATTGAGTTCATTTCTCAGAGAGCTTTATACAACTACTGAACCAATAGAATCAACAATATGATGTAATCTTCACTACTTTTCTTTTGATGATTTCCAAATATTTCATAGACATCTAGGCAGTTGATGGTATGGGAGTGGAAGTTGTTTTTGAATTTGGTGAAGAAATTTTGATCCAAGATGTAGAGGACACTGGCTTGTGTAATGTGAATGGCACAGTTGGTTAAATGGACCAGAGCACTGCTGTTCATTTCATTCAGTAGACCTCCTTTCTCAGTCTTTTCTTTTTTAAGAAGTTTATTTATACAAGAAGACTCCGGATTTAAGGAAAGCCAATGTGGGATTCATTTATTTTAAAGTAATTTGGCCAGGCAAAGTGGCTCATGCCTGTAATCCCAATACTTTGGGAGGCCGAGGTGGGTGGATCACGACGTCAGGAGATCGAGACCATCCTGGCTAACACAGTGAAACCCTGCCTCTACTAAACATACAAAAAAAATTAGCCAGACGTGGTGGCGGGTGCCTGTAGTCCCAGCTACCTGGAAGACTGAGGCAGGGAATGGCATGAACCCGGGAGGCGGAGCTTGAAGTGAGCCGAGATCGTGCCACTGCTCTCTAGCCTGGGTGACAGAGTGAGACTCTGTCTCAAAAACAAAACAAATCAAACAAAAAAGAAAAGTAATGTATCCCTTCTTTAAAAACAGATTACTCTGGTTGGATGCGGTGGCTCACGCCTATAATCCCAACACTTTGGGAGGCCGAGGGGGGGCAGATCACGAGGTCAAGAGATTGAGACCATCCTGGCCAACATGGTGAAACCCCGTTTCTACTAAAAATACAAAAATTAGCTGGGCGTGGTGGCACGCACCTATAATCTCTGCTACTTGGGAGGCTGAGGCAGGAGAATCGCTTGAACTCGGGAGGTGGAGGTTGTGGTGAGCTGAGATCGTGCCACTGCACTCCTCCAGCCTGGGCAACAAGAGCAAAAGTCTGTCTCAAAAAAAAAAAAAAAACAAAAACACAAAAACAAAAAAACACAGATTACTCTACATGTGACAGCCTTCTACAAAAAGTATGTGTTCTTGATTTCATAATGATAAATAAAGCATTGAAATTCTCCATTTAAACAAATTATACAAGGGTGTTGTTAAGAGCAAAATTTCTTACTGGAATATGAAAATAAAAGTTGAATGAGCATAAAAAAGAGCATAGAAGTTGAGTGCACAAGCCACCAATAAAATAAAAAAAGTAGGTATTGTCATAGATCTGTTTTACCCCCCTTTATCTCTACTTAATACTGATCAAAATATACCATTACCTGTATACTATAGTAGTCAGGATGTGGTAGAACCAAATTGTAGTGTTTTTTTGTTTGTTTGTTTGTTTTTGAGATGGAGTCTCGCTATTGTTGGCCCGGGTTGGAGTGCAGTGGAGCAATCTCGGCTTACTGCACCCTCCGCTTCCCAGGTTCCAGCAATTCTCCTACCTCAGCCTCCCGAGTAGCTGAGATTACAGGCGCCCACCACCATGCCCAGCTAATTTTTGTATTTTTAGTAGAGTCAGGGTTTCACCATGTTGGCCAGGCTGGTCTTGAACTCCTGACCTCAGGTGATCCACCCGTCTCGGCCTCCCAAAGTGCTGGGATTACAGGTGTGAGCCACTGCGCCCAGCCCAAATTGTAGTTTTCTAACAGGAGTTCTAAAGTAGCAAATTCTCCCTCTAGTACATACCTCCTATCTGCTGCTGCTGGAACCCATCAATTGCATCTTTGTTCTCCATTTCCAACGGGGCATGTGTGTCTTTCTCATTGACTGTCTCCCATCAAATCAGAATCTGATTTGCTTCATTGACAATCCCTGTCATACACAATAGACTGCTTTTTTTTTTTTTTTTTTTAGCCAGTCAAATTTAGTAGTTGGGGGTCATATACCAACTTTGGTGACACTACTGTTAATAAGTTCTGATAACCTGCTACCATCGGACCAGCCTGCAATAGACTTTCATTAGTTAACTAAGTGGTGTATGCCTCTTATTCTTAAATGGACCACAGAACCATCCTGCCCCCTTCAGATCCAAATTAGTATGACTTTGTTCTCAGTCTTAAGCACTTCCTTGGGCTGTGGTAAGTGCTGGGGTCTCTTTACCCAGCAGTTCAAGAAAGGTACCAGGTTGGGTCTGAACCAGTATACAAGCTGCACCAGAATCAGCCACCTTCCTCAACTTTGAGTCATCTCTAAACAAAAGGGAATATCCCACAACTTGTTTTTGCTTAATTGGAGAAAAAAAGAACTTTATCCGATTATGGTTTTCAAACAAGTGATAATCAAGCATTCAAGTCATCCAAGTTTCATGTCTTTTATTTCATCTCATCTCAAATGAGAACTAGGTGAAATGCTGTGCTAATTAAAAACTCTTCTGTGTGCCAGGATATTCATGTGCTGATTCTAATAATCATTGATTGCTTATATATAAGGGTATTTTAAAGACTACCAGCCCAAACAAAAAAACACATGGGCCCCTTTGGACATATATATTCATGAGGCATATATAATAAGAAAAAAAAATCATATTTACACAAGTTGTTTTTCAAACCTAAAGGGAACTTCAGTCCCTTATATCTAGAACTGTTTCTTACCCTAGCCACGGGCCAGCTGACTGTTGCATTGCCAAATTCTGCCTCCTTTGATATGTATTTGGATAGGATTCAAAATAGAAACAAGGATTCTTGTGTGTCTGTTCTTTGCACTTTTCACTTAAGCTGCTCTGCTGGGTCTCTTTTTAAAAGATATGATTGATCCTAACAGAATGATACTTGAGAAGTAGTAGTCATCTGTCCTATCTAGGCAAATACAAGTTGCTGTAATGTCATTAAATTGCCAAGGACAAGCCTAGTTATTTCATAAATGTTCACCCTATCCCTTTGGTTATCCATGCAGAATAAAGTGTCAACATTTCTTATCCATCTAAATATGTCTGCCTCATACAACTGAGGACACTGATTCCTTTACTGGTAAAAATTCCCCAGTGCTTGTCTTGAATATCAGAAAATAATAACTTTGAAGTAAATTTAGGGTTTTACATTTAAAATAGTCCAGAACAATTTGTATTGTGTCATTTAGATCAAGCTTTCTCTTCACTGTATATCCATTTTCCCCAAATATCTAAACGTCAGAATATGATTAACAATATGAGCTACTGGGTTTTTAATCCTAAAAATTATTATTCAAGCTGTATAGATTTTCATTGCAGATATATCACATTGTTGAATGTGGTGAATTCGGAGTATTTACCACTAATTAGTTTAACATGACTATGAAAGATGAAGAAGGAACAGAATCACTTCAGAATGGAAAGAGCACAATGGCCAGCTTCCAGGATCTGTACTCAGTATCATTTTACATCATCCCTGGCTCAGTTCTAACTTCTCTTGTCTAAAATGCTGTTTTCTGCTGGGTACAGTGGCTCATGTCTATAATCTTAGCAGTTTGGGAGTCTGAGGTGGAAGGATTGCTTGAGCCCAGCAGTTTGAGACCAGTCTCTACAAAAAGAAAATTAGCTCGGTGTGGTGGCATGTGCCTGTAGTCCCAGCTACTCATGAGGGCGAGGTGGGAGGTCGCTTGAGCCCAAGAGGTTAGGAGTATAGCAGGCAGTAATTGTGCCACCGCACATTAGCCTCAGTGACAGAATGAGACCCTGTCTCAAAAAAAAATTTTTTTAAATTCTGTTTTCATCAATGTCACCAATAGTCCTTCTCAAATGCACCTTTTAAAAACCAATTCTGACCACTTCATTTCAGTTCTTGGAGAAGCTGAATATCTCCTCTTGAGAGAGCCAGGCCATGTAGCACTAAGCAACGACACAGTGTATGTGGATTTCCAGTATTTTGATGGTGCTAATGGGACACTGAGGAATGTATCTGTCCTGCTGTTGGAGGCCAACACCAATCAGACTGTAACTGCCAAGTACCTCTTGACCAACCAGTCCCAGGGAACACTCAAGTTTGAGTGCTTCTATTTCAAGGAGGCTGGTGACTACTGGTTCACAATGATTCCAGAAGCAACAGACAACAGCACTCCATTCCCCTGGTGGGAGAAAAGTGCCTCTCTGAAGGTGGAATGGCCGGTCTTTCACGTTGACTTGAATAGGAGTGCCAAGGCAGCAGAAGGCACCTTCCAAGTGGGCCTATTTACCAGTCAACCACTGTGCCCATTTCCTGTGGACAAGCCCGACATTGTAGTGGATGTCATCTTCACCAACAGTCTTCCTGAGGCAAGAAGAAATTCAGGACAGCCACTGGAAATAAGAACCAGCAAAAGGACACAACTTGCTCAAGGTCAGTGGGTTGAGTTTGGCTGTGCACCCGTGGGGCCAGAAGCCTATGTCACCGTGGTGCTGAAGCTGCTTGGGCGAGACTCAGTCATTACCTCCACAGGACCCATTGACCTGGCCCAGAAATTTGGATACAAACTGGTGATGGTGCCAGAACTCACATGTGAGTCCGGGGTAGAGGTGATGGTGCTGCCTCCACCATGCACCTTCGTCCAAGGAGTGGTCACTGTCTTCAAGGAGGCACCCAGATCCCCTGGGAAGAGGATCATTCACTTGGCTGAAAACAGCCTGCCCTTGGGAGAGAGGAGGACAATTTTTAACTGTACTTTGTTTGACATGGGGAAGAATAAGTACTGCTTTGACTTTGGCATTTCAAGCAGAAGCCATTTTTCTGCAAAGGAGAAGGAGTGCATGCTGATTCGGAGAAATTTAGGTTTGTATTGAGATTTTTTAACATTTTAAATCAAATCCTTCATGTAATCAAAATTATTTAGAATTTAGGTGAACTTTACGTGAATTGTACCATCATTTTTATGGTTCATGCCTTACAATGTACCAACTGGCATTATCACCCTTAGCTGAAAAAGAAAGAATACTGGTAAACCTACTTAACGTCTTTTACGTCTCGTTTCCCCATCAGTAAAACAGGGGCAATACAAGTACATACTTCAGAGTCATGGAGATTGAACGAAATCAACATGTAACACTCAGGATAGTGCCTGGCATTTAGGAAGTGGTGAATAAACATTACATTACATTTTTAAAATCCCATTATTAAATCATATGGTAAGTTCATGGCAGAGATTATTGGAATTCAAAGCCAAATCCCAAATTAGCAACTTCTGTCTTCCTCTTAAGTCCTCTTAAGTCTCTTCTCTCTTAAGTCATTCATTAGAGGAATGTGGCCTTTTTAGTGAGAAATCAAAGCAAGATTTCTAAAAATGTATTGGGATTCTGTATTCTTTGTGTAATGCCCTACCTAATCATGAAGAAACGGGGTTATGACAATTCCATTAATTCCCTATGCTGCTCTTTGCATTTCTTTCCCTTTTCTTGGGGGAAAGTCTGGTCTTAGCAAGTAGTTTAATTTGGCAGAAATGGTCTCATTCGCTTTTTATCTTTATCCCTGGTAAGCCCAGTGTGCCCTGACTGCACGAGCCTGACTGTAACCCCCAGTGTTCCTTTTTGCAAATTTACCCACTTCGTCTCCTTAAGACCCTCTCCTTTGGCTTTCCCTTCCACCACTGGCCATTTCCCTCCTTGCACTTCTTTTCTATCCAGCGTAGATTCCATGGCTCATCCCTTTAACCACCCTCCTGCCAATATCCTAAACTCCTTAGCCTCTCCTTTCGATACACTTACCAGGACACACCCCAGCTCTGCATGTATCCAGCCATCTGCCAGCCACCCACTGCACCCAAGTTGCTAAGGCTGAGTGACAAGGTTACATCATGGTGGCCTGATGCCACCATGGGTGGATCATGCTTTCACCCTTGGCAGGGCCTGCGTGCTGCTCAGCATGTCACCCAGACCAGGTCTTGCTCCTGTTCTACACAACAGTCCTTTCAGACCTCCTCCACTCCCCTCAGACCTTAACCCCTGCCCACTGATTAACTCTCAGAGTTGATTTGCCAACTACCATACAGAGCAGCTGGAAGCCATTAAGTGAGAACGCCACCCTCCCACCAAAAGATCTGTATACCTGTAGATGTCAGACCCATCCTCTCACCCCATCCTCTCCCCTGCTTTCCTGCCGCCATGGAAGAAGTGTTATTCCTTCCCTCCACTGTGGATCTCAGCCCCTCTGCTCATTTCAGGAACCTTCTGTTAGTCATTATCCCCTCTCCCTCCCATCCTTAACTGTCCTTCCTTTACAGACTCATTCTCATCAGTTTTGAAATGTACTTATTTCTCTTCTCCCAAAACAAACCATCCCGACCCCATGTCCTCCCCAGACATCACCCTCTTTCTTCTTCCTTCAATAGCCCAAAAACTGCTTGAAAAATTTGTCTGTGCTTAAGAGTTCTTTTTTTTTTTGCCTCCCATTCACTTTTCAACCTATTGCAAACTGGCTTCCATGCCCCAGTCCTCCCCTGAAATACTCTCACTGAAGCAGCCAGCAAGTGAGGTACAGGACTCCAAATCCAGGGACACTTCAGCCAGCGTCTTCATTGACCTTGATTCTGTGACACCATACTCGCCCTGCTCACCTCCCCGCTCCCTGCTTGCTTCTTCACAGTCTCCTTGGCCTGCCAGTTCCACTGTCTGTCAAGTGCTGGTTGTCTTTCATTTACTCTTCACACACTTGCCAGGTGATTAGCCTTGATGCTGATGGCTCCAGGTGGACGTCTCTTCCCTGCTCGTCCCCTGCATCCAGGCGCTGCATCCCTCGGATGTCTCCCTGGCACCTCAGAAGCAGCATTTCTGGACCAAGACTCATCATTGTACCCCCTAACCCTGCTTCTCAGTGTAGGACTTCACCAACCATCTTAGTGTTCAAACCAGAAGCCAGGAGTCTTCCTCTTCTTTACCTCCTATAAATGCTACATTACTGAGTCCTATGGCTTTGTCTCCTGAGTGTCTCAATCTCTCCACTTCTCTTCAGTTCCACTGGCACCACTTGGGTTAAATCTCCGTTACCCCTAGCCTAGGCTCAGAACAGATTCCTAATCGGTTTCCATCTGTCCACTTGCTTCTCTCACTGCGGCCAAAAGGATTGTTTAAAATTCAGGTCAGCTGAGGCTATTCTCTTTCTTAAAACCTGTTATTTCACTAGGCATGAGGATGCAAATCCATAAAACCTTCCATGGTCAGGCTGCCCCCACATCCTCGCCGTCACCATCTCTGCACTGGGGCCCAGGACACCCTCCTCTCTCCTTCCCCTGGTTAACATTAACCCATCCTCCAAGTCTCCACTTGGGTTACTCTTCCATGACCTCAGGTTCAGTTCCTCTGCTGTAAGCTGGGGCAGCATCTTTTCGTTCTTCTTTGATGGCATTTATCACTTCTGCCATTGCTTGTTTAATGTCTTTCTCCCCCTATAAATCCTTTCTGCACAGCAGATGGGGGAAGCTCACTTGGTGGCAAAACCTGACTCGTGCTGCTCTGAAGCTTTTTATGGTCTTTATTTGGCCCACTTAGTATGCCTGGCACATTCAGAGGTGCTCAATGCTTATTAAGTGAAAATTGAACTCAGATTTGGCTAGTCTCAACTAGGTATTAGGAGAAAAACAATTAGGTTGAACGAATTTACTCATCTAAGATATATATATATATATATATTTTTTTTTTCCCCGAGGCAGAGTCTTGCTCTGTCGCCCAGGCTGGAGTGCAGTGGCGCGATCTTGGCTCTCTGCAAACTCCACCTCCCAGGTTCAAGTGATTTTCCTGCCACAGTCTCCCAAGTAGCTGGGATTACAGATGTGCACCACCACGCCTGGCTAAGTTTTGTATTTTTAGTAGAGATGGGGTTTCGCCATGTTGGCTGTCCTCAGGTGATCCACCTGCCTTGGCCTCCCAAAGTTCTGGGATTACAGGCATGAGCCACCGTGCCTGGCCCAATATTCTTGCCTTTTCAAAAGAAATTATTCATGGGGGAAAAAAATCTCACTGAATTTAGCAGAAATGAATCAAGGGAAATCAAGAAATTGGGGTCATTTAATTAAGGTCACATGGGGGCAGGAGGTTCACCTTGGTGGCTTCCATTCCATGTCTAAAGGCTGGAGTTTTTCCCACAGCAGCAGCAGCAGGAAGACGCTGGAAAAGGGCAGAATGGGAGTGGTTCTCTGTGTGTCCAGGTGGAGGGTAGTCAGGGGCTCCCTGTGGGGCTGCCCCATGCAGCAACTGTGAGACACATCAGAACAGCAGGGCTGGGGCAGTAACTGGGAGAGCTAAACATGCCTGGAGACCCTGGCTCTTGGTGTGGCAGACCAGCTCTGACTCTGTTGGTCTGAGAAATTAAATTTATACTTGAGACAGGAACCTCAGTGACTTCCTGTGTTTTTAGTATATAAATTTATGACTGAACTGAGTTCTCCTTTTATTTTCTATCTCTGACCAGTAAAGAGTGTCTTTTTTGCCGAATGGTACCACTTAGGGACTCACCATGACTTGTGTGAGCCACTGACTCACACTGAATTTATTAGTTCCTTTTGAAAATAGAATAATTGTTTGTTTGTTTGTTTGTTTAAGACAGAGTCTCACTCTCTTGCCCAGGCTGTAGTACAGTGGCGCAATCTGGGCTCCTTGCAGCCTCCACCCCCTGGGTTCTAGCAATTCTCCTGCCTCAGCCTCCCAAGTAGATGGGACTACAGGTATGCGCCACCATGCCCGGCTAATTTTTGTATTTTTAGTAGAGACAGGGTTTCACTATATTGGCCAGGATGGTCTCGATCTCTGTGTTTTATGTTTGTCTCTTCTTCCAAATATGTCTGAGGATCTTAGGATAATATGTAAATAACAATTGATAGCAAATACATAATGGATTTGGCAAAAATGACTATTTGTAATCTTTATTCCACTTAATGGGATAAATATTTACATAGTGATTCGCACCAGACACTGTTCTGTTTTATGGATATTAACCCATTTAGTCCTCATAACAAGTTTATGAGTTCAACTCATTACATTGTCAATTTTATAGGTGATGAAATGGAGGCACAGAAAGGTTAAGTAATTTGCCCAAGGTCAATGGTGTTTAAATAGAAGGGTCAGAACACAAATCCAGATAGAATAGCTTGAGAGTTTAATTTGACCACTATTCTGTGACTGCCTTCTATGCAAATTGACTGTCAATCCATGTATTAAACAGTACAAAGCTTTTAGATGGAAAAAAAAGGTTCTGTTTTTTCCTCCTTAACTTACTATTTCATCTTGTGCCACCCATCTCTTGGAACACCCAGAACCACTTGGGAGCCCACAGGCCCAAGCATAAGTATGATTTGTTCAATATAAGGAAGCCTTGTCTATGGAAAGAAAATCTGAACTGCTTATCCCAGCTGCTACTGCTCTTCCTACTGCTTATAGCTACTCCCTTATGTCTATAGAATTTTCTTATAATCATGATTTGTTTAGTTACCTTGGTTTCTTGAACAAAATGCCTTGCAGATGTGAATATTTCAAAGGCTGTATTCCTTCAGATAGTTTTATGGGTAGAAACAAACCTCCCTTTTCACATTGAAGACATATTTTGCTTATTCAAAACCCTCCATAATAGGCTGAAAGGCATTTAGGCTGAAAGGCATTTAGCCTGGACAAACAGGTTTGTCATGTAGTGCGAGCACATGTATGGACATCTAAACAGGACAAACGAAACAGCCTTTCATTCATCAAGTGGGACTATTTGGAGTATTGGTCATTTTGCTCTTCATTTCTGACGTATGAACTACAGTTATCTAATGAGTTCCCATATTGCCAAGTATTTTCCTCAAAGTT